TGACATCGACAGCAACCTAATAGTCAGTTGTTAGAATGTAAGCGCGAGGCGACGACCGCGAACTAGACGAGTGGCTGAGTCGGAATCTTCACGTGCAGGCAATAGCAGAAGGACGTCTTGGATACTCAGACCACAGGGGACTCGTTGGAATACTACAATTATTTAGTCGTTCTACATAAAGAAAGCGTAGGACGTAGATGATTGAGTACCTCCACAGATGTCCTCATATCTGTTGCCTATGCCGATCCCTCTCACCGAGGAGATTGGAATCCTGACGTCTGCAAATAGGAAGACATCACGCACATTTTTGGTGCAAACTGGCGTGAGGAATTTATAGAGACTCATGACTATGCATCCAGCACCCAACAACGACAATACACAATTACGATTGACTGATATGGGATGCCTCCAAGAACCCTGAGGTACTCCGCTAGCGAATTGACAGGAGCTAGTGTTACCCTCCAAACTGCACGATCTAACTTGTCCACCATTTTGCATCAGAAGCTACGGATACCCCGAGCCGGGCCGTTCCCTCAGTGTGTGTGACCTCCCATATTAGCGAGACTCGGACACCCAGAACAAATGTCGAATCAGAAGTTGACATAGACACGCTTACAGGAAATGTTTGGACCCCTCAAACAAAAAAACTGGGACTCCCTCATGTAGTGAGTCCAAGGCAAGCTTGAAGTTGTCCACAACCAGAGCATCCCGCGAAGAGGTCTTGAAGTATGTTGACTGGACAGTGTACTAGCCACTGTTACTCAGTGCAACGTAATGGGTTGTCAAGTGCTCTCTCTATGGTATTAGTCGAGGCGTTAATTCTTTGTCACTGCGGACCGCTAGAGCTAGCCGAAAGGCAAGTCCGACCGCCAACAGAGACAAGTCTCTTAGATTGGATGGTTCCCCAACCCCCGATCGCGCACCCCCCCACCACCCAAAGGAAGTCCGGCCTCCCCCCCTCAGTAACATGAAGCGTCCCATTGGCAAGCTTTTGAACCTAAAGAGATGCCCTGTAACAAATCGGCTATGTGCTTATTCCATGGAAATTGCTACCCCAGGCTCAAGCCTTGGATTTGGAGGGTAGAAACAGACAAGAAACTCAACAAACAGAGCAACAAAGGAAACGCATGATTGTGGGGGCATGCCTTTTTGTTCTCCTCGTTATCAGTGCTGTTTCCGTGACAGTTATGGCGTCGCAAAAGGAAGACTCAAATTACAAGGGTACTCTGTCGGCTCCAATGACTATGCTGAGAGGACCGACTGGCAGTCCATCCCAGGCTCCATCGTCTGTAACTGGTGGTGCTCATCACCTAGTCTCACTGTTGCCGGAGGGGACACAGTTGGCACTTGAAGACACAAATTCTCCACAATCCCAGGCCTACTATTGGCTCATGGGTGACAGAAACCTTCCTTTCCTCACTGATGACCGCATCAAGCAACGGTTCACTCTCGCAGCATTTATTTTGCAACCAATGGAGATGATTGGACTGACAATACCAACTGGCTCCGTTACAATGTTCATGAGTGTGAATGGTACAACCAACCATCCTTTTGGTTTGAAACACGTGCTGGCCCAGTTGTATCCAGATTACCTCGTTGGGTTTCATGAGGTAACCCCCACAATTTGCAATGATGATGGAATCTACCACCACTTGTGGCTAGACCAAAACCACCTAGTTGGTTCCCTACCCCATGAGTTGTACTTGCTGACCTCTCTACAAACCTTCTCTGCTGTATTCAATGAGCTGGAGGGGGGGATCTCAAGTCAAATTGGGCTCTTGACCAATCTGGAGGGGATGGATCTTGCCTTCTCCTTTCAAAAAGCCGGTACAATACCATCGAAATAGGCATGGCAACAAGTTTACGAGTCCTTGGACTCGTATCAAATGGCCTCGAGGGTTCCATTCCAAGTGAACTATGGCTTCTGACCAAACTGGAAGGGTTTCTAGGTCTGTCACAGAATCCACAATTGGAAGGTATTCTTCCTACAGAAATTGGTCAATTCTCCAATTTGAAGGTGCTGAACCTGGAGGACTGTGGTCTCAGAGGTAAGCTTCATCTCTTTCCCTCCTAGCTAGAGTTCTGCTTTCTTGTTGAAGAGATTCACTCTATGCTCAGCTCTTCTGTTTCCATTTTCCGTAAGGGACACTTCCTTCTGAGCTGGGCCAAATGGACTCTCTGGAGTGGCTCTTCGTTCCTCGAAACAGCATTAATGGTACTGTGAGTACGAGCAAATACACACCATGGATGCTATATGCACATTCGCCCACTTATTAAGCACTGATGTCTTTCTTTCTACATTTATGTACCACAGATCCCCACAGAGCTTGGGTTGCTTCACCAGAATCTATCAGTTCTTTCCCTCTTGGAAAACAATCTAACCGGATCACTACCAAGCCAGCTAGGGGAATTGACATCATCTACTGCAGTCAGCGTCCACAGCAACCAGTTAACAGGGACCCTCCCAAGCGAGTTTGGAAAGCTGACATCACTTACCTTGGGACTCACTTTCCATAGCAATCAGCTTACAGGGACTCTGCCAACAGAGCTCTCCAGCATACTCTCCCTGCAAAATCTACAGTTCCAAAACAACAGATTCATAGGCCAGATTCCCAGTGAGTTTGGTCTCCTTACCTCACTCAGCTGGCTGGAAATGGCAAACAATTCCTTGTCTGGAATTGTACCTCAAGAGCTGTCAGCACTGCAGCAATCCCTCCACACATTGACACTACAAGACAACCCTCTTTTGTCTGGAAGCCTACCAGATGCACTTTGCCAAACCAATGGAACTTGCACCAGCAATATCTTGTTTCAGTGTGAAGGCAGCTATGGCTTGTCCTTTGACTGCACAGACATTTTGTGCGGTTGTGGCTGCGACTGTGGAACCATTGGAGCAAACAGCACCCAATGACATCTCCCTTACTTTCCTGACTGCCCTGCATGAACAGAGTCACAGTTGATAATAGCTAGCTAGCTGCTTTGATACCTCTCTTGGTTCGTTCTGTTGTTTCACGATGGGGAACCTGACGGATTTCTTGCCTTCTTGTGTTGCGGTGCTTTTCCAGTACCAGTGCAGTAGCTAATTTTCCCCACAGTAGGGTTGAGGATCCCTCTGTCTAGCTAGGATCAGTCACGCACATTTGAGGATTGAACACCTGCAAAAGTGAGGGGGGGTTAGAGTGAAGACATGGCCATGCAACAACCACAACGCCATCACACGTTGTGCTTCTTCTTTAGTGTTCAACACAGTGGCGTCGATACAAGCTATCTAGTATCCATAGCTGTCTACCAAACACAATGATCGAAGTTGTGTTGGATGATCGACTTGGAAAGAAGGTGCGGGTCAAGTGCAATGAAGATGATACCATTGGGGACCTGAAGAAATTGGCCGCGGCACAGCTCGGAACCCGACCCGAGAAACTAAAGATTCAAAAGTGGTATACCGTTTACAAGGATCATATCACTCTGGAAGACTACGAAATTCATGATGGAATGGGGTTGGAATTGTGAGTTATATAATGCGGAGTAAAATGGAAGAGTGAGGAGGTTTTTGGAATTTCTCATTTCTCATGTCTTTCATGTTGTTTTGCAGGTATTATCAATAGTCCAGGGCTATGCAGATTTCTTTCTGGGCTGCCAAGCAGATGTTGATGGATCGGTGGAGGGGTGCCTTGCACGAGGATTGGAAGAAGCTTCTGCTAATAAGGGCTTCAAAAAACCAACTAACGAACACAAATATTTCTCAATTTCCCCGATGCCTCGTCGTAGAATCTTCCTAGCTAGTACCTTTTTGACTCGGCACTTCTACCGGTATGGTAGCTAGTAGCGGAGAATAAATCATCCCTCGTTAGAAACCATGCCTACGATTATCCAGGTCATTCGCTTGTTCTTTGCTAGCAAGAGAGGCTTTTTGTTTGTTTCCTGGCTGGCAGTGTTTGCCCATAGCCAGGGGCCAGGTTTACCTTAGGGCGGCCCGACTCCCTGTGGGTCTAAAAGAACAATACGAGGCAGTCTAAGAAAGGACCCTCAGTTGAATTGACCGACACGATAATCTGGACTGGCTCTAGGAGCGCTGATCCTGAGCTACGAAGACATTTCGATGGTAGCTACGATGGTACTCGAAGACGTCTGAAGGAGAAGCATGATAGCTGGGAACGGTTACTGTACTTGGTCTGTTTTATGTCTATCCTTTGTCTTGTTCGTCAAGCGGCTCAATGCAATTTCTAGAATCAATCGTCGTCGATCCTTCAGCGCGTCGTTGGCGTGATGGCGGTTGTGGCGAAGCGTGGGGTGTGGTGCGTGATTCTCGCGTATACTTGTATGGGTCTGTCGGTTGCTGCATTTCTCTATGTTTTGTAGCTCGGCCCTCTTCTCCGCTCTATCAAAATTGTTGAAAGATCGAGGTAGGCTTGCGTATGGCTCGTCAATTGCAATTGGAGAAGGGGGTGGTTGTGTGGGGGTTGCGGTGATGCTGGGTGTACGCATGCAATTGAAGTGTTCTTCCACTCGCCGTGATATCTGTGTAGTGATTGGCGACTTCGTAATCGCTGGTGAACTGCCTGTCTTTGTTGTGTGCGATGTCTTGCAGTGTGCATGTGATTGTGATATGCCCGTGGCGTGATCGTAGCTGGTTGCGTACCCTGCAGTTGCGTTTCGAGCGTGCTCAAGTTGCTGTGTGTTTCGGGGCAATCTACCTTTCAGAAAGCTTTCGAAACTGCTCGAAAGTGATGTCCTCGACAATTTGTGATACCTCGCTTTTCGTCATGGGTGACTCGATTCCAGCAGCCGAGTTGGATCCCTCCGTCTGTGCTTTCTTGCCACCTTGCCTTCCGAACCAGTCGCTTATAGCATGAGCGAGTTTTTCTTTGGACTCTTCAGCAGCACCAGCCTGCAGATATCCATCCACAAATCTAGAAATAAAGCTCGGGCCCTTCGGAGCTTCTCCGTCCTCCTTGTCATCGCCGTCGTTATCTGTGGAATCGCCGGAACCAGAGAAGGTTGGAGAAGCGCCATCTGAAGCGGTTGCGAAATCTGCGCTGTCCAACGCCAGGGCATCTTCTGCGTGGTGTGCCTTCCTGTCGGTTTCTCTGGCGCGTGCCTTGTTGAGTGCTTTCAGTGCCTTCTTCCTTCTACGAGCAGCCTTCATTCCCTCTCTGACACGGTCAACGGTGATGATCAAGGCTCGCTGTGGTACAGTAAACGCAAGATAGTGGCTTCCCAGGAAGCGCCCAGGTCTCAATATTGCTTCCATCTCAAACCTCAAGCATTTGTCTTTAATAGACAAGGAATTCAGCCGGTTGTCCTCTCCCATGTAGTAGCCCCCTGTGTCATCATCTTTCTTGAAGGGCGAGTGGATTGGAATGTAGGTGTAGATCGGTTTTGGTTTGGACGGAGGCTTCATCTTCATTCTCGCAAATGTTGAGTTGAGGCTGATATAGCCAGAACGTGAGAAACACGTCAGAGACGAAGCAACCAACCCGAAAAATGTGGAACCAAACGAAGCAGCAAAAACATTCCACCATTCACTTACTTTTGCTCCCACTGTTTCGGACACTCCAGCACAATGGCAATCTCCGGTTCTGACAGCTTGATCGCTCTTCCATTTCGAGGCGTGGCAACCTTGGTGCGAAGCTTGAAGCTGTTGTCAATGACAGGGGCGTTCTTGCTCGCTCGGACCTTTGCTCTGCCCGTGACAATGATTCGATCCTTGTCGTCGAATTCAACACTGGTCAACTCGGTACATTCGACCAAAGGAGCAATGGCGCTTCCACGTTTCCATTTGCGTCCATAGAAGACGGCGCCATCTGCTAGATCCCTAAAGGACCGCACTCTCACTCGCAGTGCAAAGCTCACCAGCTGCCGCAGCCCAGCGTCCAGCAGCGAGGACTTCATAATGTCATCGGCACTGAATGAGCCTATCACAGTGGCCTTCATGGGTTCCAAGACCAGAGGGCCACCTGGTAGTATCTGCTCGTTGAAGCAAAAGCACAGAACAAGCCACAGGATGAGTCAACTCTTTAGTGCAACATACAGGAGAAGGCAGAGTTTTCTTACATATCTGAGAATGGGTATAGCTCCAAACACCAGTTGTCTCAGATCTATTTTGAGATTCTCCATCACGATTTTACCGGTTGTTTCTGGTACAGAATCGGCAATTGCTGCAACGCCCGCACCATCGGCAATATCAGCCAGCGATTCCTCTTGCTCTTTGTTACTGTTCAAACGAAGGACGGACCCAATCGCAGATGCCCACCACGGTCCGCCTTTTTCTTCTTGGCTGGGGTTGTTTTCCTGTCCTTCTTTTTCCTTTTGCAATTGTCTCAAGGCTGCCATGTCGTCCACCATGGACTGGTACTCCTCCCGATCAATGACGCCATCGTCATTTGCGTCATAGAGATCCACCAGCTGTTTGGCAAGCTTTTGAATCATCTTGCGATTGGTATCTTCGACCTCGGGATCCGAATTTTCTGTGATCCCAGAAGACGAGGACGCAGATGCCGCAATGACGAGCGCATCAGCGATTTCGTCCTTATCCAGCGCCCCCGAGTTGTCCACGTCAATCTGGCTAAATGCCGTATCGGCACAAGAAATCTCCGCAATCGGATGCCCCGTTTCATCTGCAGTAAATTTGACGGGACACTCATCATCCTCTTCTTCTTCCAGAAGAGCTTGTTGGTTGACTGGTTCTGGTTGTGCTTCTTGTCGTGTCGGCGCGATCACTGCAGCTACCTCCTTCTGTACCTGCTGTTTGTCTTGCTTCTTCTTCACCACAGCAGGATCATCATCATGTGACACGAGCTGCTGATCGGGTCCTCCCATGTGCAGTGGCTTGAACCCTAACCGTGTGAATTCAATGCTGACCGTGTCAATTTGCTTTCTCCAGAATGGAGTTTCTTCTCGTGCATCCATTCGCACCGACAATCCCTCGGCTTCTTCGGCCAGTGCATGGATCAGCCCGGTCAGAGTCCGTGATGTAATACCGGCCATCTTTTTGGTGTTTCGTCGATTGACTCGTTCGAGCAAATTGGAAAGACGTCGCTTCTTTCGAAGGCTCTGGCGTGCCACGATGGCTTCCTCTTTGGCTTGCTTCTTCTTTTTGGCTTTTTCTGCAGGAATATCTTTGGGCTGAGGCGACGCCGATGCCACTTCAAAATCTGTGTTGTCGCGAAAGATTCGTCCGGGGGAAACCTGTCCCCAGGCATGGCGAACCGCGCGAAACGCTCTTCGCACCCGAGACGTCTTTGTCGCATTCCTGAGGGGAGTGGCAGTTTTCTGGTCAAAGGAGGCGAGAACATCCATTTGCACTGGTTGTCTACGACCATTATTGGTTTGCTGGGCCCTTCCATTGACAGGAGGTGGTGTGGATGAGACAAGAGTTGGCGATGGAGCTCCATTACGACTGAACCCATTGGCAACGACTTCTCCATGGCCATTGCTCACAATGACCAACGGTGTCGTGATCTTCTGGGCAAAGAAAGGTTCTTCCATTTTGACAAAGGAATCATCAAAGGAATCTTGGGATTGCATCATGTAGTGATCCGAGAACCAATTGTCTTCTTCGTCTCCTCGCTGCCCATTGCTGCTGCTACTTGGCACATGGTGCACATTCTTCCCATTCCGTTCCAGAAAGTAGGACGAATCCAATGGGTTTGTTGCAGTATCATTCTCCACAGTAGCCCACACGGCAGTCTCTGTTCGATGGTTGTTGCGTGTCCAGCCACTCGTTGTGGCAAACGACGATGACGACGAAGAGAAGGCCTTGACAGGGTCGACACACGCAGTTGTGTAGACCACCAGAATGGCTGCTACAGCCTGTCGTCGTCTTCTCCTCTGTAGCTCCTTCATTCTCTTGGTTGACGGAACCTTGGTGGCTGGATGCCGAGTCCTCATTTTTTTGGCGGGCACTTTGCAATTTGGAATTTCCACTGGATCAACGAGTTGTTGGTTCCTTCTCGCTAGACCGACAACGTGTTGTGTGTTTCTGGGCCATGGATGATGATGATGCAAACAACAACAACACACCCGCCGCTTGACTTTTTGTCCAAGGAAAGAAAAGAGAATCAGGTATCCGTTTATGGCAATCAAGAACGAACAAGAAAGATCACTGAGCAGGTCCTCCTTTCAATCCTTCCAGTTGATTGGATCAACCTATAATGTTCTGGCAGTGATTTGTGCCACGGATAGCAATCAAGGCCAGCACTTTGTCTCCCACGCCACAATTGCGACGATCTCCTCATCCAACACAAGCGGGGATGACGTTGTGGAGATCGAGTTGAGTGAGATCAGTGAGCTGAGCAAGAACACGACGTCGAAATTCTACAAAACAATAATTTTATTTTACTACGGAATCATCTCTTTGATGAGTAAGTGGCAATTGACACATCAAAAAAATCATGACATCATGACACAGCAAGGAAGCAGACTCATGGAGGAGCCTCCTTCTACCGTAGCTATTAATAGCCAATCTTGCCCTTTGATCCAAACTGCACACGCAGTTTCCTACTATGGCTGGTATGCATACGGTAGTTCCCGCTAATGAGAAGGCCATAATCTTCTTTTTCATTGGACTCGTGTTGGCATGGCGGTGTGACAGGATAGAGGACTGGCACTTGTGAAAGAGCGCCTCCAGCCGCCTGGGTGTCCGACTGCCACCAACCAACGGTATCAGCATACTACAAAGAGAGATGAGCTGCCAGAAGGAGTTCCTTGCTAGCTATGCATAGCTCTCTTGCGATCCTGAGAAACACACTCTTGATCAAGACACCTACCGGAACCTGGTAGATCTACATGTACCTCGCTAGCTAGCAGCTAAGGAAAAGGTAGACCATCAAAATACTGATAGCTAGCTAGTCTAGATTTATTCTGATGGCTACTCCGACCTCCCTTCTCCCATGTTCTGCCGATCCATGGGCTTCAACCATGAAACAGCTAAATTGATCGCACCGACAGATGCAGAATTTCGATTGGCTCCGAACTGCAGCATCATCTCTATGATGCAGTTTCGACGTCACAGCAATCTTTTATCTGACAGTCGAGTCGCACACTTGTTCTAAAATGTTATTTGGGTTGAGGCTATTCTGGCATTCTTTCATTAAGGTTAACGCTGTGACTGCTCAGAAATCAAGCTTCAACATCCAGCATGGCCTGCGGACTGAGGGGTCTAACATGTTAACAAAAAGGTGTCTAACCACTGACCAGCACATACCGTATTGGCTTAAATGTTCACCTTTACCTGGTAGGTAAAGTGTGAAGTCGAATGAGAACTTAGAGTACATGTTTTATGTATTAATAGTGATACTCCAGTACTGTACCCTTAGTGCAGCTGTACTTCCTGTTGACAAGAGTTGACGCGTGCTCCTGTGGATTGGACAAATTATCATTTGAAAGGTCATAGTGAGTCATTGAATGGACAGTTCAAGATTTATCATGTCTGTCGCAATCCGAACTCTATGACCAGGACATCCCAACTCGACATAACTTGCAGTACACCAGAGTCCACTTACCACCCGTAAAAACACCTTGGTCAACAGCTGACCTCCATCCTCCATCTCCGCCCATTTTCACCAGCGACACAAAACTGAAGCCTTCACCCTTTGCCACCCTTTGGATCCGGACTTTGGACCAGAGCAAATAGCAAGCACAGTGTCAAGCAGTGAGATCATCTGCCGACAAAGCAAAACCCGTGCACTCTTGTCCAGTGTCCCCTCTATTACTGAGTAGAAAAGCTTATTCGAAATAGTGGACCAAGAGCTGGACCAAGCAGCCATGCCAACTCCAAATAGTGTGATTGGCATCAATAGCGCAGCCCCTGTCGGTGCCATGAAGGTAGCAGAAGACACAGACGGGTCCAACGAGAGCGACAGTCCCAGTGCTACTAGTCAGACCATGGAGGTTTCCTTCTTTGACGCCATACCAGTAGCCGCCAACACTATGGACAACAAGTCGTGGAAGGAGGAAGCTCCTCCTCTTCAGTGTGCCGTTACATCATCTGTTGTCGCAGTGCCTTCACTGCGAATGCTCGATCGGGTAGAACTCAAAGAGATACCAGCGGCACTGCCCGCTTCTCAGAACGAACGTGCCACCAGCGTTGGAAGCACCCAGTCCCAGCAAACCGCGGCAGAGCTCGATTGGAGCTTTTTAAAGAAGGGCCGACTGTATGGTCGAGATGCCGAGATGGAACAGCTCCAGCAGGCATTCCACCGACGGCTCGATTTGGCCGAGGCAGCAGAGGAGAACAGCTCGAGTGCTCATGGTTCCTTTGTCAGTTTTAATACTGGCAGCAGTACGGGCACCCTCACGGGCATTGGCACCAGCAACATGGGCCCCGAGTTGGTTCTGGTATCGGGCAAGAGTGGTACTGGAAAGACAGTCCTCGTCAAACAGGCTCTCCAAAAGCTGGTGGTGGAAGAGCACGATGGGCACTTTGTACTGGGAAAGTTTGATCAGCTACAAACTCCAGAACCCTACGGGCCCTTTGTGGCCGCATTTACCCAGCTATTGATTGTCCTGGAGCAATCCTACTTTCAAAACATGGATGGGCTACGGAACCGAATTCTACACAGGGTGGGGATGGACGCCTGTCGCGTTCTTTGCTGTCTCGTGCCGGCCCTGGGCCGACTGTTGGGGATACAGCAAGACAAATCCACCAGCAACGTCGTCTTGAGTACACAGCAAGAGCGGCTCAAAGTGGCACTCAAAAAATTCTTTCAAGCAATCTGCTCTTCCAGTGTGCCTCTTGTGTTGACGCTGGATGATCTGCAGTGGGCAGACTCGGGGTCCTTGTCGCTACTGGAAACATTGGTGTCCGAGTCCATTCCTGGCTTGGTCGTTGTAGGGATATGTAGAGACAACGAAGTACCATGGCATCATTCCTTTGCGGGCATGTTGCGGAGATTGGAAGATGACAAGGGGGCGCGCATTGTGCACATTGAAGTGGTGAATCTACACATGGAAGCGACCAACGAATTGCTCGCGGATATGCTACATCAACCGCAAGATGCCTGCCAACCTTTGGCACAAGTCATCCATTCCAAGAGTGAGGGCAACGTGCTGTTTATACTGCAAGTGCTCAAGACTCTCTTTGCCGAAGAAGTTTTAGTCAAACAACGAATTGACACGCAGCGCCGACGGCCGGGATCCGAGCGACAATACCAATGGCTATGGCATCAAGATCAGTGGGATGAGTCCTTTGCCAACCTGGACATTGTCGAGCTGGTATCGTATCAAATCAGACATCTGCCAGACTCTTGTCAACGACTGTTGCAGACAGCGGCGTGTATCGGAGCCGAGTTTGACTTGTCGACCTTGACCAAGCTCTTGGACAATAGCAGCGACGACATGAGCAGCACAAGCAACAGTAGCACTGACGACAGCATTCGGCAAGTCCTTGCGATTGCACTGGAGGAACAAATGATTGTGCAACAGATGCATCGGCCAAACAAGTATGCCTTTAGTCATGACCGCATCCAGCAAAGTGCCTACTTTTTGATCCCAGAGCAAGAACGACCCATGGCGCATCTTGCCGTGGGTAGATCACTCTTGCAGACTTTTACAGAGGAAGAGTTGCAGGAGAACTTGTTCCTAGTGGTGAACCAACTCGTCTGGGGCATTCCATTGTTGACCACCGAAGTGGATAAGAATGGATTGGCTGAGCTGTGCCTCCGTGCTGGACAAAAGGCATCCGGGGCAAGTGACTTTGAAACGGCGTTGAAGTACTTTCGAACGGGCAGCGAACTTCTAGCCAATCGTCACTGGCGCGATGAGTATCATTTGAGCCTGGATCTCTTCAACCGACTCGCTGAAGCACAATCGGCTTGTAGGGATATCGAAGGAATGAACCGCACGCTCGACGAAATCCTGGAACACTGCCGCTCATCAAACGACAAGGTGACACCCCACTTGACTAGAATGTTCTCCCTCGGGTCACGGTCCATGTTTCAGGAAGCTATCGATATCGGCTTCCACGTTTTGGACAGTCTCGGCGAACGCATGCCCTCCAAGCCTCGGCTGATCTATCTAATTGCAGACCTTGTAAAGGTCAAGGGCCGTCTCAAGGGGAAAACCGACAAAGACATCATGGACCTCCCCATGATGGACCTGGATTATAAAAACAAGGGGGTTGCCATTTCGGTTTTGAACATGCTGTGTCTCTACGCCTTCTGCGCGAGACAGGACTACTACGGGCTCCTCATTCTTCGAATGGTAAAGTTGACATTGAAGTACGGTCTTTGCAGGGAGTCGTCCTATGCCTTTGCGTGCTACGGAATGGTACTTTGTGCGCTTGGGGAATTCGACGATGCTTACAGGTATGCACAGCTCAGCCTTCAGCTGCTTGAGCAAGATAAATCCATGGGCGGCGGGTTGCATCCGCGCGTAAACTTTGTTGTCTACGCCGCCATTGCCCCTTGGAAACAGCCGTTACGCTCTACATTGGACGCAATTCGTGGTACCATTGCGAGTGCCATGGATACTTGCGATCACGAATGCTTTGTGTACTCCGCATACACCCTTGGCATTCAAGTGTACCTTTCCGGTGAAAACCTGGCCGCAACAGAGGAAGAATTGAATCAGCACATGGAGATCATGGCCCACTTCAAACAGGGTCCCTGGCTATTGTTGGCGTCTATGCTGAGAACGGTACTGCGCAATTGGCAAGGCAAATCTGAAGACCCGCTTGCCCTCGAGTTTGCATCAGACATGCAAGACAGCAGCAACAAGTTCGACTTTCAGCTTCAAGTGAGCACACTGAACGCTCATCGATTGTGTCTCTCGTATCACTTCGGAGACATTGACAGTGCCTTGGCGACCGCCAAAATTGTTCGTAGTTTCGAGAAGGACACGAAATTTACGTTCTTTGGGACAAACATGTACCTGTACGACGGCTTGACGTCCCTGGAAGCAGCCTGCTGCCGAGGTAAAAAGCGAAAACGCCTTGCTCATGCCAAGAGTGTCCTCAAGAAGCTCGAAACCCTGTCGAACCACTGCCCAGAAAACCTTCTCCCACATGTCTACCTGTTGCGCGGAGAAGTGCAAGCAGTAAAAGGCAACCTATTGAATGCGATTGATTTGCTCAAGAAAGCGAGTGATTATGCAGCTTCGGAACACAATCTGCAACTTCAGGCCCTTGCCAATGAGCGTGCTGCTATTGCGTATCAACGAATTGGTGGTGATAGTGAATCTGCAGTGGGTGCAGCGAGTGCTCTGTTGGAACGGGCTATCACGCTCTACGATGAATGGGGTGCAGCCGCTGTCGTGGTCCATCTGAAGGAAAAACACGGGTTGCAATAATTCGAATGCTTCCCATACTAGCTAGCTAAAAGGACTTTGATTCCATACTCTTCCTATTTCCCTTTTCCTTGCTTTGCCCCTTTTATCATAGACAGAACTAAAGATGGTGATGTCTGTCCACACGGTATCTATTGGTTGCAGATATCAGCAGAGCTTCGCATAGTCAAATGATCAACCCGAGGCTGCGGGCAACCTGCAAGCAACGCTGAGTTTTACATGCTCTTCATCCGAAATCAGCCTGTGAGCAGTGGGCAAGTCCTCTCCACATTTGCAGATAGCGCTACCTTACGTGGTAATCAATTGATGATGCAATTGCATCTGCCGACTAGTCTAGCTAGTTTTGGTCATACGATTCACTTCTGTTAGCAAGTACGTGTAGACCTGGCTCTAGCTAGCTAGCAAAGGCTCTTCCGGTAGCAACCTGCCTCTTTCAGTTTTCTGTACATGTATGATGTTGTTTGGGACTGGTAAAATAAATCATACTAGTACTGTACAGTCAAATCAGTCGCAAATCGATTGTAGGGGTCATTCTTCATTGTTGAAAGAAGGGTTCTTGTGACGTGTTCCTGTGCTCTTCTGACTCTTCTGAGCATTCTGACCCTGCTGAGCAGGCTTGGCCGCTGGATTGAACCAGTATTGCTAGTCTACATTGCTACCCGCTGATGACTGCCTTTTATTCTGAATGGACACACATCCCACACAGTCATGGGTACAGTACGGCTTGGCACAGCTGTACCGGTACCCTCGAAAGCCACCAGTAGCCTCGATGCCTCGGTCGACACAACCGCCTGGGAAGTTGGCAGATAAGCAGATAAGCTATAAGATATCATAATAACAAGAACCAAACCAGCACCAGAAGACGCTGCTGTACCAGCCAAACCAATAGTCACAACAAAGATAAGAGCAGAAAATGGCGGCAACAATGGGTATTCGAAGAACATTGTAAGTGGCTCGCAAAGGCGGATAAGAGGAAGCGCTTCTCTCCGCGTAGTCTAACATGTAGTTGAATTGTTATCCCCCATGATCAGGACCTCCCCCAATCCAGGCACTGCTCGCCTTCCATTCTTTGGCAATCCATTTCGTCGTCAAAACTCGGTTGGTGCGGAGCGTCGACCATCTGAACTGAATATCATGGGTAATGATGGAGTGGTGAGCGCAGAATACACTTTGAAAACCATCCGACAGGCCCAATCGAATGCATGCTTGACCAAACTGGAACTGGAAGATGTCATCACCAGACAAGATAGTCGATCCACGTCCATTTATGGGGCCATTCAGCAGTTACTAGACCAAGAACGTGAGTGGAAATACATCAAGTTTGTGGATTCCATACTGCTTCGAGATGGACAAGCCACCGCGGCCAAGCAGTTACAAGATTATTGCAATCATCGCATGGTCATGTGGAATGTCATTCGTCAACATGCCAAGGACAAGCCCATCATGTTCCAAGTCAAACTGGAAGTGGCCTCCGGCACCAGCATGAACGTGGTGGAAGACATGTTGTCGGTACTGCAACAGCTTCCAATTGTGGCCAGCATTGATTTTGGGGGAGGCCTCTATGGTGTACGAAAACCCAATGTACCCAGCATGTTGGCAGATTTGTGCTGTGTCGACGACTTTTGCCTCCGAGAAATGATCATGCTGTCTCTATCTTGTACTGCACCTGAAGCAGCGCCCGTTCATAATAACGCCACAACACTTCTGTGGGGATGTTCGAAGAAGCTACAGAATCTTCGAAGACGGATGTCGGACGAAGAAGAATCCTCATGCGATGTGGAAGCAGATCCCAGTTTGTGGTGGAGGCAGTTGATGAACGATGATGATGTGATTACAGGATCGCCAGGAGGCCGTGGGCGGTCTCCAACAAAGCAATCGAGCTCCCCTCCGAGATCAACACAACAACAATACAGCCCCCGTAGACTCTCACCCAAAAGATCACAATCCCCAAAACGATCTCAATCACCCAAGCGATCTCAATCGCCCAAATCAAGCAAACAAGCTCAATCCCTTCAGAGCCCACAATCCGCAAAACGCTCTCAGTCCCCAAAGCGTTCTCTGTCCCCCAAACGATTGCAGCAAGGACTCAGCCGTCGAGGGAGAATTGGGGGCCGTTCCCAGCCTGATTATAATTGGGCCAGCAATAAGGGAGCTGTTGTTTCTCTCAGTCCCAAGGGTCGTCGTTTGCATCGAAGTGATCACATTCCAAGAACCATGATGAGAACAACAATCAAGGAACCAGACTATCGTTGGGACAAGCACCAGCACAGCATGCCGGAAATGGATTCATCTTCCATGGAGTGTCCCATGCCTTCCTTTCGACGAGCAGCAACTATTTCCTAGCTAGACTCCAACTACATACTAGATCTTTAGCTAGTCTACATCATACGATTTTAGCTACCGTACATCCTGTATTCCGGTGCTTCATTGTGTATACGGCCCAACAAAACTAAACTACGGGAGTGAGTATCCTCACAAGCCAATCAACACCGGGCACCATTGCTGCGAGTGGTGGGACACCGCTACATTAGATCTTCCTTTGGATCAATCTCTTCAAATCAATCATTGATGGAGTATTGACGCAGCCTTGCCGCCTTGCCAAACACCCACCCACCAACAGGATACAGTATCTGTAGGAGAACACCAGACGTGATTGGCATGAAGTTTGTGAGAATGTTTTAAGGGATGATATCCTTGCTCTCATTTTTGGAAATGTCTAACATGGATATCTTGGTTAAATTAGGATGGATGAACAATCCCTGAAAATCATAATAGATTAATAATTGTGGAGAAGGTTATACTGTACAGAGTTTCATGAATATCAAGAACAGGAAAAGTTGTATCCACTGGCCTAAAATCATCTAAAACCAGAACTCCTTCGGAACGTCTGGCACAGGATACCTTGGTTCAAAAACAAAGTCGATACCAACTTTTGTCTCAGGGCAGCGTAAACATATGTCCATGCGGTCACCGGTATCGTTGTAGAGGATCTGTCGCTGGAGTTTCTTCTCGGCGTCGTAGCCATACCATGAGCGAGCAAAATCTTCAAAGGGATCCAACTTTCGCCAAACAGTTTTCTCCAGGTAGGCCCAGCCTTCGCTGCATGTCTGCATGTGTCGTACATTCCGACGAGTACTGGCAAGGACAGGGAGAAGATTTTCGGCAACATAGAAAAAGCCATCGTTTGGAAGATGAATGACGAGGTTGTTCCAAACACCCTGGGTGTCTGTCAATTGGCAGATGCGGTAGTCGGAGCGCCACTTAAGACCATCACGTTCAAAGTCAATAAAACTGGCTGCCGTAGAGACTGTGGTGGCGAGAACGTGCTGAAAAGACGGAAAATTAGGGGAGAGAGCGTGGCCAGTTTGCCACGATTGCAGAATCTCGGCAATGTAGCCGATATCGTGGCGCTTCTTCGTAGGCGAATCCATATCGCTTAAGGATTCCGCAGGCTTTACAGGAGAGAGTTTCTGGTCCTTTTCGCGCATCCACTGTTCTTAAGATGCTTTTGGAATTGACTCGAGGCACATCAATGCAGCCACGGGAGACTCGTTGAAGCACCTTGCTTTTCAGGAGTCTTGTCTGACTTTCTTGCTCCTCTTCCGTTTGCTTCTGTACTTTCTCGGTGACAGAAGAAAGAGATTCTGAGTAATTATGCTGCGGCTAATGTGTTGGTGTTGGTGTTGGTGTTGCTCGCTGCTGTTGCCGTGTTCCGAGCCGTTGGCTCTCCTTTCCACTCTCCCCTTGCCAGTCTCGCCTCTGTTTATGACAGAAGAGCGTGTTCCTGTATACTGTAGTACTGTAGCCTTTGGATCTCTTAAGCAGCCTTGCCGCCTTGCCGCACCAAACACATCACAACACAACAAACAACCACACCACCACGGAGCATCGAGTTGCCGTCACTGCAGGACTATTGAAGGCCAGCCTCATTGCCTACACTGTACATATACAGTCCATATACAGTCCCAGCCACCACTCTTGCTAGAGATATAGCTGGCAACATGGCCAGCACACCAAGTTTGATAGAGGAAAAGCCTCGTTCATCATCCGCCGACGATCTGACCATTACACGGCAAGACTTTCTCTTTCATCGCAAGTCGACACATGCCACCAACGACACGACTGTAGGAGAACGATGGGACGACCACTACAGATTGTCGGGGCAATGGCTTGGGAAGGGACGGTTTGGCAGAGTGGCGCTGGTGGAGCACTTGCAGACGGGTCAGAAACGTGCCATGAAGTTGCTCGAGAAACGACAAGTGAGTCCGGAAGCGTTCTGGAAAGAGACGCAAGTATTGAAGACACTGGATCATCCCAATCTACTGCGATTGTATGAGACGTTCGAAGATGACACACGATACTATATTGTCACAGAGCGAGCTACTCAACACGGCAATTTGTTTTACTTTTTCCGGGAGCTGCAGCTTTCTTCTCAAAACCAGAAATCTCTGAACGAGCTGGATATTGCTCGTTTGATTCGACAAATCTTGGTCTGCGTCAATCATTGTCATGCCCACGGTGTAATCCACTCCGACATAAAAATGGAGAACATCTTACTGGATGCCGACGATCCTAAATTTGAACGAATCACACTGGCAGACTTTGGCTTTTCCCTCTTTTATCATCAAGAAGAGGAACGGCCACGACGAGGGACACCCGAGTACCTTGCTCCCGAGGTGTTTGTTGGTACTACTTATGGACCCAAGTGTGATATATGGTCCCTAGGTGTCATGGCGTTTGTACTCCTCACTGAAGGACACTTGCCGTTTACTGGAACACAACAAGAAATCTACAATCAAATATCAATGAACACTCGAACGGATCATTGGGATCTCCCGGCTTGGGAGCAGGTGACACCAGAAGGGAAAGCATTTGTGCAATCACTGTTGCAAGTGGACGAAGCAAAACGACCAACGGCCCAAGAAGCTTTGAGTGATTCTTGGTTTGAAATAATAATGATACAACAACAACAATCTACCACCATCCTGGAGGCTTCCTCCTGGCATGAAAGCCTCCTCAAGTTTTCGGCGCGGCAAAAGCTCCAACAGGCAACCTACGCCTTTTTGGTGGCACAACTGACGTTCAAGTCACGCAAAAAGGTCATCGACGAAATGTTCAAAGGGTTGGATGTCAATGACGATGGAACCATTAGCCGGCAGGAAATTGAAGATGCCTGTACCAAAAGGGGGTGTCCCATCAGTAAGGAAGAACTGCACAGCATCTTTCGCAATGTCGACATTGATCAAAATGATTGCATCAACTATTGGGAATTCACGGCCGCCACGGCGAATCCAAGGAACATGCTGTGTGAGGACAACCTTGAGATTGCTTTTCAAACCTTTGATGTCAACAAGGACAATTGCATCAATGCGGAGGATTTGAAAGTGATCTTTCGTCATGGTGGGCTAATTGGAGGATACCATCATGAAGAAGAAGAAGACAGTGTGGTGGATGAGGCTGTGATTGATGCCATCGTAGAGGAGGTGGATGCCAATGGCGATGGAAAGATTTCACTGGAAGAATTCAAGGCAATGATGGAAGAAACTGTAAAGTTGCAGACCACCAAGAGACCGCGTTGTGAGTTGGGTAACTGACTCGCATAGAAATAAATTGCTGATCGCATGATAGAGTAAGTTGACTACTAGAAAGCTGGGAAGGCTACACCATGTAAATAAATCTAATACTGCAAAACTACTATTGTAATCTATTCCAAAAAGGTTCATTTGAATCAGGCGTCTGTTTTGTTTGGGTTTACACACCCGCCATTTCTTTCAGTTTGGCCATCATTTCGTCCACTTCCGCATTGGTATTCTTGGTGAAGGATCCTTCCGAAAAGAACGGCCCGGCAATGTGTTTGGCCTGTGGTGTTCGATCCAGATAAAATGCTCCACTTTGGATTACATCCTTGGGTGCTCCCATGAGATAGGCAATTCCTTCAGCACCTTGCCACATGTTACGCATGGGTTCCAAATACTTTTTATTGTCTCCAAAGGCACTGTCTACGGCGGGAGTGGCGGTCCAACCGGGGTGTGCGGTGATCCATTGAATGGCTGGCATGGTTTCCGTCAGTCGCTCGGCCAGCAGCACTTGTCCTCTCTTGGCATAGGCATAACTGAGTTCTCCGGAATATTTCTTGTCGGCGTCCTCTTTCATGGTGCACGTGGCGGTTTCCCAATCGGGAAATTTGGATGTCAACATGCCACCGGAAGTGACAAAAATGACGCGTGGATTGTTGGCGGCCTGGAGTTGTGGCAAAAGCAATTGCGAAATCAAGTAGGATCCTCCTAGCAAATGCGATGCAAATGTGACTTCAATGCCTTCTTTGGTTTCCGTTCGTTGATTCAACAATGCTCCCGCATTGCAGATCAGCACATCCACTTTGGTTTCTTGTGCCTGCAAACTCTGAACGGCGGCTCGCACTTGCGCCAATTCTCCCGTGTTGGCGAGTAGAATTTGGAGATTATTACTGTCATCGCCTGAAGTGGAAGTAGCTTGCAGGATTTCCTGTTTGGCCGCTTCGGCGCGGTCTTTGGAGCGGCAAATCATGTAGACTTTGGAGCCCTTGGCCAGAGCGTAGGTTGCCATTTCTTTCCCAATCCCCGAGTTGGCACCCGTAATCACCACGACTTTGCCTTCCATGTTGACGCCGTCGGATCCTTCTTGGCCCAATCGAATGGTGGGAGACGTCTGGACGGGTGACTTGTATTTTTTGACATGGCGGGTATATCCAGTTCTGAATGAGGAATTAATTGCAAGTAAAAGCAAGATGTGAGATGTTAGTGCACAACATTACGGTATAGGAACAAGATAATAATTTCATCATGGTGAATAACTTACGAAGTGAAGTGCCGTCTGCCGTAAAGGTAAAATTGCGTTGCTGAGATTGCTTGGCCCATGGTATGTCTTGTTCTGTGGAAAATGGATGGAGAATTATCTTTTAGAAGAATTGCTGTGGTTGACTTTGCGTTGATGATGATTATGATCAGAGAGAATATGAAGAGCGAGGCAAGGCCGAATGGCGGAAACATTAAATCGTGCGCTTCTTCGAAGGTTACAAGTTTCAAGGAACCTTTCTTTCCTGATGAGCCAGCAACAGACAACCGGCAATGGTGATGGTACGACCCCCCTACCTTGGTTGTGATGTTATGATGACTCATCGATCGCTTGCTTGTCAGTCCAGATGGCCACGTATTTGGAGAATTGAAAAAGTGAGGTGCCTAACCTCAAATTGCATTTGCACTGGCTTATCTCATTCGTTCGGAAGCTGAAGTTGAAGCGGCACCCAGTCGATCTTCCATCACTCTTCCAATCACTCCAACAAAACAAAAGACACCCATGGACGCTGATCCATTGCCCATTTGGCTACCCACCTCCAACTATAGGAAGACACGACGATCATGCCAATGCAGCAAAGCTTGTTTCTCTTATCCCTCTTATTGTCAAGAGCGGCATGCTTTCTTCCAGCTCCAAGGAAATTTCGCGTGACAGTTCCCTACCAAAGCTCTTCTTCTTCTTTCGTCGAGGAGGAGGGAGATCCCATTTTGATTGCCTTGACGCGAGAAGAGGGCAAAAATGACAAGCTTCGCCATCAACTGACACAACAACTACTTGAATCCAACGACGACGATAGTCAGCACCACAAAAATGTCCAAATTGTAGAACTCCCTTGCATTGCTCATGCGGACGGACCCGATTTTGACAAACTGCAAGATACCTTGATCAATCAACCATGGGATTATGTCACCATTACGTCTCCCGAAGCAGCACGCGTATTGGCATCGGCGTGGTCACAAGACGCGTTTGGAGATCATCCTGTTCCAAAAGTGGCGGCCGTCGGAAAGGCTACCCAAGAAACATTGACGCAAGCGGGGATTCCCGTGGCATTCTGTCCTTCCAAAGCCACGGCCAAGGTGCTGGTAAAAGAATTGCCGGCTGTCACAAGCACACGAGTCTTATATCCAGCATCGGCACGGGCCCAAACCACATTGCAAGATGGACTTGCGGCACGAGGATTCAAAGTCACGCGGTTGAATACCTATGATACCGTCACGGCAATGTGGACGGACGAGCAAACAAAACTGGCGGCCAAAACGCAAATTGTCTGTGTTGCCAGTCCCTCGTCCATCAAGGGATGGTTGGCCAATAGCAACGCGTCATCGCCGCCGTTTTCCTTTGCGGCTGCTTGTATCGGCGAAACCAGTGCCAAAGCGTGCCGAGAATTGGGATTTGAGGAAGATCAAATCTTTTATCCCGACAAACCAGGTATCCCAGGATGGGTACAAGCGGTGCAAGAAGCCTTGGAAGCTACTCATCCTGCCTCTACGACAATAGCAGCACAGTAAACAACAGCGATGTATAAAAAAAGATCTGAAGGATGATCCACCCAGATGCACGCAACAATCTAAGAAGGTGCAAGTTTCCAACAATCAGGCAATCTGGTGGGCCTTGAACTATCAATGTCGAGATCCAGAAAAGTACATCTAAGACCAACCATAATGAGTCTGGTTATAAATAGTTTGTGAGAGTTGCATCAGCAATGTGAAATGTGTTTCCTTGGAAGCATTACCGGGTAGTTAGTCCTTAGATCGATCCTTCACTGTACCGGTACCAGTCATTCATTTGTCGTCCACATTGGGTCGTCCTTGAAATGGAAACGCCACGTCCTTGAGCTGCAGCCACTTGGTTCCATCTGGCCCATCGACCTTGTCCGTGTACTTGCTCAAGGTTCCGACATAAGTCTTGAAGCTTCCATTCGTTTCTTCGTATCCAATCGATATTGCCAGTTCCGCCTCGGAGTGTGGACGACCATCCGTCAAGACGTCAAACATGATGCGCGCTTTGGGCACTTCAACAGTTGCTTCATGTTATGTTGCACGTCTTGATCGGTTTTTGGCAGGTTGGCTTGAAAGTCGGGTCCCAACTTTTCGTACCCGGCTTGTGTGGCCTGGAGACCACCGTCCTTGGTTGCGACCACCCGTCCCTTGCGTTTCAAAATGTTGAGAAAGGTATTGTAGCTGATTTCCTTGACTAGCGACATTTTCAAAATTTGCTTTTTGCAAGCAAATTTGATTCCCACTGCATGTTCCTTGGCAATGGCGGACAAGATGCGGAGTTCGGCCGTGGCGGGTTTCTTCTTGTTTTCGCCGACGGTGGACTTTGCCTTTTTGGCGGTGGGCTTGTTCTTGTTTTGTTCGGGAGAGGACGACTTGGTCATGGTTGCATGAAGAGCTCGGTTAATGGAATGGCACGGAACGGAACGAATAGATAGCGAAATGAAATGTGAATTTCTAAAGGAAGGAAAGAAAGGAGGCTGTTGTGGCAACAACGAAATGAAAATGAAAGGAGAAACGCATCCGGAAGAGATTGTTTTCTAATACTTGAGCTTTTCACATTAATTGGACCACCGTGGCGTGGACAATGAGCGTGGATAGAGGTTCGTGTTTTGAAAGGATGCCGCTCCCAATGAGGGTCGGTTTGACAGCTATCTTTTACCGTAGAAATCGCAACCAGAAGGAGTTCAGTGCACCAGCGTGGTTGACCCTTTCGAGTACTCCAACTAAAGCTACCAGTTACTGCTTGGATGGTCAATCGATCTCTTGTGGTTGATTGCATGCAACCCCAAGATGAACTTCATGGTTCTGCCGTTGTTGCTGTTGCGACCACTTTGAAAACTTCGTACATTCTTGCTTGTTATTCGAAGATGGTAGCTGCTGTATCAGGTGTCATGTGAGCCATACGAAGCGGTCCGGTTGTGATAGCCGCCGTCGTCGGGTTGTCCTGGGCAGTGAGCGATGACTGAATGGCATTGTGTTTACCTTGGAACAGAAATACCGGTACCAGGTAGTCCTTAGAATCGACTCTTCACTATACCGGTACCAGTCATTTGTCGTCCTCAGTGGGTCGACCTTGAAATGGAATGAGTACACCATTAGGAACAATGCATAGAATTTCCATTTATTAAAGCAGCATAACATTCACTCCTTGCCAAAACTCAGCAGGAAGGTTAACATACGATTATACTGCAGGCTGCGGATCTGCGCGCAGCACTGCATGAAAGACTGACTAAACCAAATCAGGCTGAAGGCTCTGATTTTCCTGCACAGAACCATGGTCTCCCATGAAGCGACGGTCGATTTCGCCCAACACAATCGCGAGAAGTGGCCACCCAATCAAAATAATCCAAGTTGACGGAGCATGCTGGACACAAGCAGTGGAACTGCCTTCTTGGAAGTCGCTTACCATGCGTTCCCACCATCCCGCCGTGGCAGACGTAAAGACCATGATCATGACAATATTTGGAGTGGTGTATCCAATCACAAACGCGTACAGATAAAATCCAAAGGGCCACAAATGGAACATGCGAAAAAGATAGATCACAAAGAGAGTTGTGTCATTATCGTTTCCTGCAAAGGTCTCTTTCAAGCAGGGTAGGTATCCAGCAAAAGGTTGGACAATGTTGCTTAAAGTGTCGATCAAATTGTAGATTACATAGAAAAAGAACAGCAGCATCCCAATTTTCCCCCAACAGGAATTGGTAGATGTCCAAGCATCCTTCATGGGCGAACACGGGTTCCAGAACGGCATGTTGCTGGGCGATAGGAGCCACAAGCGGATTCGATTCGATGCGAGCGGTACGTATCAGTCTGTTTCCTTTGTCCTTTTGTTTTTGGTTTGGTATGTAATGTTCCGTGTGGTACCGGTGGTACCGGTAGACGCATGACACCAACCAGGGCCCCCCAAAATGGTCCTCAATTTCTCGCCCCTGATCCCACAGAACCCAATCCTGAATATCGACTGGCTTCCGTAGATAATCTACCTACTCTAAACCCCCCTTGGACTCCAAGAGCAAAAAGATTTCAAAGATTCTTGCCAGTCTTGAAACAGTTCAGTCAACAAAGTGTTCTCATGAGAGCAAAATGGATTGAGCAATGGTTCTCTTTTGCGGGCGTGGACAATGAGCGTGGAAAGAGGTTCGTGTTTTTAATTAAGGTTAGCGCTGGCCATGAGGGTCGTCAGAAGGACATGATGTTCGGCAACAACAAACAACGGCAATGGATTGATTATTTGTAGTTGATTGAGCAAGCAATGGTTCTATCGCTGGTAATGTCGGACTACAGCATGTGGTTGGGAAGACCAGAAGACTTTTCGTATCCAGATTGGGAAGACGACTATGAGACGGCGCAACATGCCTTTGCCGAGACGCAAGAGACGAATGGGAATCCCATGTCGTGCACGGAATGTCTGAACGCCGTCCACAGGTTACATGAAAAGCAACGAGTGCACGATGGCGATCGGAGTCACCCTCGTCTCATGGCACTGGATCAACTGAACTTGAGTTATCCTGGTTGGCAAGAGGATGTGAAAAATGCTGAAGAGGCTCATTTTGACAACTATTACAATGCGGACGTTGAAAAAGACATTTACTTCCAGAGCAAACTAGAGGGACTCGAGAATCGACAGCAACTGTACTACGGCTACAGTCGTCGCAATTCGACCAGTGCCTCTTCGACCATCTCTAACTCTTCCCGATGTCACGACGAGATTGTCGCCATGTTGGGAGCCTGTGTCATTTGCGGAGAACGGAATCGAACACACCTTTTTGATCCCTGTGGACATTTATGTGTCTGTCAATCCTGTGCCAATCAAGTCATGAGAAATATACCTTCCAATTGTCCCATTTGCAGAGTGACTGCCTTCAAAACAATTCGCGTCTATTTTGCTTGACAAGAGGATGATTTGTTTTTAAAAACAAGTGGAGTTGTGGGACATGTTTCTATTACATGTACTTTGGGGGAACAGATCTCCTGTATTTGTACTGTGATGGTATGGACCATCGTTGATGGACCATCATTGCCCGGACTTACTTGCATGGAGATGGGTGGGATGAAACAGACATGATTGAAGATTCCAAAATCATCCACAACAGCCATTGGGATTTGCAGTAGCGGTGCAACTGACGAATGCCTCGACTGACTGATTCAAGCAGCTCGCCAGTTTTTCTGGCAGAACCAAACCGGCTGCTGCTGAGAGTTCCTGCAAGCAAGGCCCCAACGGCATTGCAAATCTTGTTGTTTACCCCGCATGCAAGCAAACAATCCACCCAGCAAACCTCGCTGTCATTACCTGCCCTGCGTACAGTGGGAGATCCTCCTCCGCGGCCGCAATTAAACACCAAGCTAGCTATTGTATACTACGCTACTGCTATAAATCGCCTTTTCTGTTTCTTGTGACCAACTCTTCTCTCTCGTGGCAACCACGCTCTCTCAACTAGCCTGCTAGGTAGCTAGTAGAATCTTTTGTTCCCCCCCCCCCTGCTGGTATGTTTTGGGCCTCGCTTGCGGATGGTTTAGTATTGCAAAAGATATACAGTAGCTAGAGTACGTGGATCAAGAAGAGAAGAGAAAAGAAGGGAGCACAGCCCTTTCTGCGTTGAGATGCCTCCCAATGGCCCCTGGCAATCAATCACCACAAACCAAGCAGAACACCAATTATTTCACGCTGGCTGCAGCTGGAGAAAGACTCGACTCGTGAAGCAATTGAAGCTCACGAGGCACGCTTGCGGCGAAGCAGAAATCAGACAACAGGTGGCTAGCCGAGGTGGTAGCTACATCGTACTATCCTTCTCTGCTAGCTTTCTCTGCTCGCGTCTGGTCCACGACACAAGGAAGAAATACTAAGCTAGATTACACGCTCTAACGACGACGACATGTCAATACTAGAGGAAAGAAGTGTGATGTTTACGCAGTTCTATTTTTGTGTTTTATGATGATTATTGTTTTCAGTAGTAGATAGTAAAAGTATGCAAATGCGACACATGCAGTCTAAAAAGCGAAACAGCAACATGAAGAATAAAAAAGGGCCCCAGCACTTCTTCGTCTTCTCATCACCATTCCTTGTCCAACAAACCGACAAGTAGTACAAACAGAATCGAGGTAGCTTGTCTCGTTGTCTTTCTCAGAAAGACGAGAGATTCTCACGTCGGCTCCAAGTAAGAATCAAGAGTTGGTTGTTTCTTTTTCACGAATGCTGCGATCCATTGACACACATGCTCATGTACATGGCAGCCGTTTTACATATACTGGCATCCGATCCCGCCGCAAGACATTCGGTATTCATCGACTTGATATCGTCGCAGTTCCTCATGGTATGGTCGTGCACCATGGCGGAAATCACGGGAGAGTAAAACACACGAGTGGAGCGTCGTGGCTGTGGTGCTGCAAACGGTAACATGGTCGTAGCAGCACTGGAGGTGGCAATGGGTTTTGGCGTACTAGTAGCAGCAGAAGAAGACATGGTAGAATAGAATGGAATGGATTCAGACAGAATAGATAGAAATAGATAGATGCAGTAGCAAGAAAGCAAGATTATGAAAGAAATGAGAATGAGAAAGAGCGATGAGAGTTTGGTCCGCTTCAACAAGAATTTTGTGAAGAAATTCGGCTTGGTTGTTCGTCGAGTTTGAGAACCGGAATGATGACGGTGTTGACACCACTTCCTGCAAGCTTACCAGGCACGACCCCGAATTCTGTAACTGGGGTTACGGTAGGGTTCACTACAAAACGAACGCTGACTTGACACTCTTCTTGATACTGCCCCGTTGTTAGGGTCAGGAGTAGTCACAGAGACTTATAGTTTGTAGTCATTAACCGTCATTTGTAACGCTGAATGACCGACGTTACCACCTCCACTTTTTGCATCAAAACTCAAACTTTCGAGGACCCTCCCTCGCCGACAACCAACAGCACAACAGGACAACATACAGCACAATGCCGAAGGAGTCAAACAGAACCAAACCAAACTATATCAAACTATATCAACATCACCATCACTTCATTTCAAAACCATATCAATCAGTTTCACTTCTCTAGAGAAGATGACAATTTTTGATGTTCCAAAACGATCGTGGTTTGGAAATGTTTCAAACTTGGAATCGGGCACTTCCGAAAGGCTCGGGTCTCATTTTCTTGCCAAAGCACAGGGACCAACAACACGAACAAGCAAGCGCAAGATTCTCGCCATGATGAATAACGATATGACAACGATGATGAATGCAAGTGCCGCCCGTCATACCAAACGCCCATGCCTGTCGCCCGTTCCTGGATTCCCGTCCATGGGCAACCAAGCTGCATCATCACCTGCCGCCCCGAAAAGCCCCATTATCAATAGCCCTGTTTGGGGGTTTCAGAAAGAAAATCTTCATAGTTTCCGCAATGACACGTTCAGTTTTAATGATCCAAAGCATCACTTGTGGCCTGCTTCAGCTCCTCCAGGGCCCGTCAAAGAACAGTCGCATCAGCAGCCAACCTTAGCTCCGTGCATTCTATTCGCCGAAGAACCTTCCAATTCACAGAGCCTTCCGTACGCTTCCTTCTCTTCCACCACGGCACCATCGGCGCAAGAACGGTTGGAAATCTCCAACAACTATTTCGCAGCCAAGCAAAAGTGGAACGACACGCAAATGGACGAACGAAAGCGCTCGGCCCGGTTGGCGGCATTCGAACCTGCACTACAGAAATTGGAGCAGAAGCTGAATGATGGATTCAAGCCCGTGGAGGCGACGCAGTACCAGATTCTTATCACTGCACAGCAGCAAGAAAAGCTGGAGTACCCAAAGAGCTACGCAGCATCTATTCAAGCTGCTCGCAACTACGAAAACGCCAAGAAACTCTACGATGAATTGGGCAATGTCGACAACTTTACGTCTGGAACAGCCTTTGGTCAGTCGCCACAAGCGGGCAATGAAAGCAGATCCTCCTTGTTTTCGTCCGATTCCTTTTTGCCACCAAAGACCCAATCGGAAAAACAAAATACTGCGGCACCCAAACGATCCTTGAAGAACAAGCGCAAGCAGCCCACCCCTAGAGCTCATCGTCGCGGTGGCATTGGTACTCCAGGAGGCAAACCTACCAAGTCCATTTTGCGATCTTCTTCCTATTCTGCCGGGTTCGTCTCCCCCAAGAAGCAGACAAGCCGCGCTCGTGTCGTCTTTTCACCCGCTAGCGAGTTCAAGACGAAGTTCTTTATCCCTCCCCTCGAGCTAGAGGGCATCAAGAGTCCTGAGGAACGACAAAAAGCAGCAGGAAACCGCAGCCACAAAGGAGGGTCCATCACTGTAGCAAAACTCGTAGAATGGTATGTCAGCAATTCAGGGAGAAAGAACGACAGATGCGAGGCATACCTCAGTTGTGCCTCCCTCGACGAGATTGCAAAAGTCTTTTGCTACGGGTGCCTCCACGGAGAGTCCTTGGCTGCTTCTTTGACCTTATTGCGGGATGGAGGTTTCCTCAACAACCCAGCTTGCAAGGCTACCGGCATTAGTCTCGCTGGGTCGGAGTATGATCGTCAGGCTCAACTCAAACAGTTGCTGGGCGTTCCGGCATAAATGAACTCTTGCAAACCACTCAAATTGATGTTTGAACTCTTTGGAGCTAGATCATTTTGGCATGGGATTTTACTAATTTTAAAAACTAGAACATAGATAGCCGAGTACCGGTACTCTAAAGACTGCCCACAGATAGAACCAAGATGCATTTTCGTACCGGCGGATATCGATCCTTGCCTGGTTCTACTGTATGCACTGCCGGGCTGGAACATAGATAGCGAGTGCCGGTACTGGTACTCTAACTAAAGACTACGTACAGATAGAACCAAGATGCATTTTCGTACTGGCGGATATCCATCCTTGCCTGGATCTGTGCACTGCCGGGCCTGCCAGTACCAGTGCACCTTCGCTTACTGCTGCCCGACCCACCGCACCATCTCCGCGATAAACCATGAAAGTCTTTGACTTGCCTTCTCTTTTAATGTGCTGTCGTTGTTGTGCAAGCGGTCGGGTAGGTATGGGTACAATGTTTCATCTAAAAAAGGTTAAAATTTTGTATCGTAAAATTTTGGATATGCAACTGCTGAACTCCAAAACGTCCAGCTCTTCCACCGCCACTCTGCTTGGCCGTGGACTTGTAAAAGGTAAATCTAGTAGCAAAAGAAAATGTCTCCGCGTAGCAAGCTTGCTGCTCGTCGTCTTGAATTAGTAACATTCGTCCTTGACCCCATTCACAGCGTTTCCTGAGCTGCTGCCTCGGAAAAGAACTCGTTCCAATCGTCGGTATCTTCTGCATCCAACCACCCTGCATCGTCTTCCGTCAGGTTCTCGTCGTCATGATACAAGCAGGTGTTGGCACCATTCTTGGAAGTAAACAACTCTTCCAAGAGCGCCCCATCTTTGGGGTTGACGACGTGTGCTCGGGTCACCCCTTGATCAATGGCCCAGGATCCCCACGCCAGATTCAGCAAAAGTTCGACGGCTCTGGGTGGAAGCCGTTGTCGGGCGTGTTCAAAATTGGCAAATCCCGTCTTGTGTACCCGGACCTTGTGGTAGTCACAAAGCTGTTGGGCAAAACTGAGGGGGATCTCTTGAAAGAATTTGCCTTGGGATTCCTTTTCGGACAAGACCGAACCTTGATTGGCCATGTAAATGAGCTTGTAGGCGTTCAAACTAGCTGCCACCGATGCAGCCAAGTGCTGCCCGTTGACATTGACCGATTCGCCTTGCATACTGCATCCGACGGTAGTCAAGAGGACCACATCATTGTTATCCAATGCTTGACGAATGTTATCCGTGTAGACTCGTTGGACAAACCCAGTGTGCTCAAAGTCTTCGTCACTACCGGGGACTTTACCGAAAGCTCGCGCCGAATAGAACATGTTGCCTCCCACGACGTTGCCTTCTTGATCGTTTCGGTCGTAGACCAAGTGCTTCTTGAGGAACCGATTCATTTTGCGTTCGACTTCGAATCGAATGTATCCCGCTTCCTCTTCCATTTGTCTCATGTTTTCGTCGGTTGTGACCCTCAAACTATTGTGACATTCATGAGGGTGGTCATAAATGTCTTGTCCACACGATGCATCGTTTTCGAGGCGACAATCGGCCACGAGTACAATCTTCATGCCCATGAGTCTTGCCAGAGACACGTCTTCCAAAAAGCTATCAAAGAGTTGATTGGGTTTGTGCAACCATTCTCCCGGAATGTAAAAGACAGCAATCTCTCCCAAATGATTGGCGATATAATGCGCACTGCCTTGCAGCATGGCAGCATAGGGATAATGGTCGTCGTCTTGTGGAACTTCGTGATCGTTGACCTTGGGGACATGATTGTACCGTTCCGAAGGGACAAACTCGACCAAGGAAGGATCGTGATCCAATCGGTAGCTACTTTCCAACCGTTGCGCCAGTTCGGCGACAGAAGGAGGTTCCTGCCTGCCGTTGTGCTGTTGTTTTTGGCCATTCCAGAGAGTTTCGGTAGGATCTTCCCACAGAAACGACTCTGGAGCCAAAGGAGCTGCCGTAGAACTAGTGGTTTCCAAGACATCGTTCTCCGTGTTGGTTCGGTAGGCTACAGAAGTCCTGACATGAGGCATGCCATGGTGTAATGGGCGGTTCACAAAGGCAATGGCGTTGCCTGCAAGAAGAGAGGTAGCGGCCGTTACGGAAGCCATTAGATTACACCGTGAAAACTTCATGGTCTTGCTGCTTGTTGTTTGTTTTCGTATTTGGGTATTCAATTGCATGTGTATAGTATAGAGATTGAAAGTGTGTGGAATAATTGGATTGATTGAAAGAAAGTAGTTATGAGAAAGAATGAGAAAAGGGGGTAGCAGCGAGCTCGAGCTCAGCTTTCAATATTTTGACTTGCTTGGTGTCTGTGTTATGTGACAGCTGCATACAAGAGTGCTTCTCCGATTGTTTGATGTGTTGCGTTATGAGTGGTTGTGTGCTTGTTGTTGGCATTTGTCTGCCACTTGAACTGTTTTGTTAGTGCAAACCACGTTGCATGCAAAGAGCAGTCATGCAGCTGCATTGATGTGCGTTTGCATTTCCGACTTTGACGGAAGTTTCTTCCTTCCTTCGGCAAGAGGATTGGCGCAACATGAATGCCACTCCGATTACCGGTTCGCTTCTACTCTTGCTTTTTCTATTGCCGGCGGACTTATACATGACCAACACTGGTGCAACTGTATTCTAGATTAGATCCTGCTTCAGAACTACCCCCTTTTTCAAAGAGGGGACGGTATAGTTGCGCCTACAGCCACCGCCGTAGATCCATTTTAGCTCCGGCATCTTCCTCCAAGTGGTTCTCACCAAAATAGCTAGCTACATAGCTACGGTACCTAGCTAGCTACGATAGCTACCGGTATCATCCGGCTGGCTATGGTGGTCCTTCAGGAGGTATTAACGTATGCGGAAGCAAAACAACAACAACAAAGTGAGTATGCGGAAACAAAACCTAAGGTCTAGCTAGCTATGATAGGTCCTTGCTTTCTTGAAAGGAGCTTATCCCATTTCAGTGTGGCCCCTAAAAGCAGGTTCAGCGATCCATCTCTTCTTGGATGGGCTGCTCAGAGCCCATGTAGCTAACAGGATCTCAACCAGGTTTGCTTCCTAAAGTAGCTGGCATCAAATGGTGAAGCAAGCTGGCATGCTGGCATCAGATGGTGAAGCTTGACCTAGTAGGGACACACTGATGCTGGGATTTGGTTGTCATTGCTTTCTAATAAGTTGATGGAGCTTTGTCACGAGCCTGAAGGCTTGAAGGTGATATATCAACTTGTTGTCACCTGATACCATGATGTCACCCCTTTGATTGCCCCATCTCATCCTGGCTCGGGAGGTTTTCATTCATTACTCCCCCCAAAGTTTCAATCACATGTTCCTTGCTCTGCACCCAAACAATTCATTAAATCTTGTAAAGCCGCATGTGACAAAAAAGGATTCTGTTTGTAGTTGCACAGTGAATTTGCGGGAAAGGATTGGAAGCCGAGAACCACCCCATCATCCCGTTGGATCCAAAAGGAGGAATTGTCCAGCTGTCTTGTGGTACCGACCACCCATTCAAGCTGCCTCACGAAGGCAAAGCGCTGCTAAAGGGTTGGATCCAAAGCTTCCGCAGCGCTGCTACGCTGCCAAGAGAAGGCAAACCGCTGCTAAAGGGTGGATCCAAAGCTTCCGCAGCGCTGCTACGCTGCTACGGCCTTAGCTAGCGGGTGGATCTAAAGCTTCCGAACCGGTATCTTCTACTCCGTTGCCGTTGGTTCACATTTTTGCCAGGACTTGGCGAAAAGGGAACAGGAGGCGAGGCCGTTGGCTGGGCTATCCTCGTACTAGTACCTGGTACCGTAGACTCCGCTGTCTACTTGTTTCGAAAGTGTGGAAAGTCGTAGTTGTATGGAACGTTCTATACTAGTAGGTAGATCGTGCGCAATAATAGGCTTGTAGGCTATGGTAGTTTTTGGTTTGTGGCTGGATGTACAAGAGCCAATGTAGTAGAATTCGATTGCAACCAGCCACACCCACGATGACAGAATCATCCGTCACAAGCAAGCTGCTTGTTGGGTCTTGACTTGATCCCGCTAATAAAACCATCGCCAGCTAGACCCACCAAAGTAGCCGAACTCGCCGGGAGCTGCAATGAATATGCCTGCCTCAAAGAAAAACGAAGAGGCAGACGAGAAGAAGAGGAAAGATAGTAGACAAAAAGCATAGGAGAGGAAAGCAAGACTGACTCTTTCAATCCGTTCGATTATCTTCTAGAAACCAGGCTACTAGCTAGCGCTAGCTAGGAATCATCGTCCATGCCTCAATCTTTCTCTGGTCTTGTTGGACTTACCTCAGTCATCTGTAACGGAGTGATGGTGCGCCAAGGATTGTTGGCTCCCGCAGTCTGCAATGCGTCCGTTTAATCTCAGCACGAACGAACTCCCACCACTCAACACAACTCAGCTCGTTCTTTTGCCCCCACCCCTCTCCACCACCCCAAGCCTCACTTACTTCATCTCATTTCTTTCTTGGACCCCATCTACTGCCTGCCTTCTAGCAACATGAAGCATTCCAGTGCCACCAGCGTCAACAAACGTCGTACAAGCGAGGACGAGTCTCCGATTTCTACTAAGCGACAAGAAGAAAGGCCCAAGAGCAAGAAGGAACTTCGAAAAGAACGCAAAGCAGCGCTCAAAGCTCCTGCCAAAAGCGATGCCGTAGATAACAAGAGAAAACGAGCCGACGTGAAAGATTCACAGGACCGAAAGAGACAACGGCGAGAAGAGAAACGGCTTGAGCGCAAAGTTAGAAAACAAGAAAAGGAGGCCGCTTTGGAAGCTCGCTTTCGGGAGCAAGACGAATTGCGAAAAGGAAAATTGGCAGATAATAAGGAGCCTGAAACGACAAAACAACCACAATCTGCCGGAGACAAAAAGAAAGTTAGTAAGAAAAATGACAAGGAATCCTCCACAAAGAAGCAGAAGCGAGACCAGACAGAAGGAGAATCCAGCGGTGACTTGGCAGTTTTCAAGAGCGTTTACAATAAAAAGTCAATCGATCCCTCTACTGGCGCTACAACCTGCCGTCTAGGCGTTCAATACATTGACAAAAAAGTGGGTTCGGGACCTCCCGTGAAAAAGAAAAGTTTGGTCACTGTCAAGTATCAATTACGTGGCGGCAGCCCAAGCGGTGTTTTGCTGGACAGCTCCAAAAATTTCAAGTTTCGCGTAGGCAAAGGTGAAGTGATTCAGGGCTGGGAAATTGGGTTGGAAGGAATGCAACAGGGTGGAGTCAGACACTTGATTGTTCCTCCCAAGGCTGGATATGGCTCGAAGGACATAGGTGCGGGATCTGGAGCTATGCTCTATTTTGACATTACCCTTTTGGAAATTCGGAGCCATATTGTGCATCTTGGACGATGAGGCGAATACTCCATGGCCCCTGGTGCCGTAAGACTTGGATTCATGTCCCCTTTTTTCTTCTCTGTGACACGAACCTTCTTGCTTGAAATGCTGTTGATCATTCTCGTGCGAAGTCGAGTTTCAGAGAGACTGTCGAATTGAATTGAATTGAATTGAATCGAATCGAACTTCAACCGATTGATCGATTCGACTCGTCACTCGCTGGGATCATTCCAAAGATCCCCCTGCGAGCGAGCCAGTCAATAATAAATATGCATTCAGTCACAGTTACCTGCGCTGGGTCACCTAGGTTGGGCTGTACATTGTATCGGGGATGAGGAAGGTCACAACGCAAGAAGCACCATCAAACCATCTTGCAGCCTTGAGAATGCGCGAAACTAGCGGTAGTAGCAAGCGTGAAAGCAGATTTCTTGATCAGATCAGATCAGCAACCGACTTCAAAGCAACGGATCCTAACCGAATTGGTTGAGAGTGTGATTAGTACCGGTACCTGAGTGAAACTGTATCATCAGAAGACTGCGCAGCTCGTGGTCGCCCTTCAACAAAATCTGATACATACCGGTAACTGTACATTCACGGCAGCCGAGGTTCCAGGATGGATCAAACACCCAATGCGAATAGCCCTTTTCGTTATTCTCCTCGTGCAGCCTTGTTCTTCGCCTTCAGGCAATCAAGACAATTCGATGTATTTGTTTGGAGCTGGGATCGAGGCAAGATTGGAGAACATAATTTTTTCCCATGTTCAAATCTAGTCTCACGGGATGACTAGTGGGGGCGGTTGCGTGTGTCTGATATGAAGCGATGCGTGCCGGTTCAAACGCGAAGGGTTTGCTTTGGAGTGCCGGTGGCAATTGCAGGACAACGGTGAGATAGGGGGAAGGGGGCTCAATTTGGAGGAAAGTGCTGGACTGAACAATTGAACAGCTGTTGCTTGTTTTTAGGTTGCAGCTGGGCGGTAGCTTTGTATACATGTAGCTACATGTACTCGATTATCTTATTTGCCAACCGTACTAGCTAGCCACACACATTGAACATTGAAGAGGGATCTTCTCGCTGTGGGGGATGGAGAAAATCAATCCATGTCCCACCCACACCAGTGTTTCAGTGATGCAGCGATGAAGCCAACACTGCTGACCACTGTTTCATAACACTGTGTCAACGTTCACCAATTGTCGCTTCCCTTGTTAACGCTGTTGAAAAAAACATTGGTTGACAGTGCCATGATTGGTTATGGTTTACCGTGGAGGGCGTTGATTTTCTCCACCCCCCGGTTTCTGACCAACACCAAGTGTTGAAGTTTTAGTTCTGCTATTCATCCTTCAGCCACCGCAGCTGCTCTGGGAAATTGCCATACGGTTTGACTGTCTGTGCGCAGCTCTGCGCTCCCCAAGGCTCATCCAAAGCAAGATTGAACTTCGTGTAAAAGTAGCGGAAGGTGGCTTCTTTTTCGTTGTCGAAGAGAGAAGTGAAAGGCACCTCTCAGCTCTCGGAAACACTTAGATTAATTCGAGGAGCCCATCCATCAACCTGAGTGGCGAGAGCTGTGGCCATTTAGTTGCTGGTGTTGCTGTTGTTGCAGACCAGGGTTTTGGGTTTGTACAGTGCTCTAACTCTCTGCTGTGGAGTGTGGAGCGTTCAGTGGCGAGGAGTGAGGCGCTCGGCTTTGTTTCTACTGTTGGTGTCAAATAATATGTCTCAACGTTTCTGGTTCCGCGACTTGTTAATAAGTTTGCTAGACATCTGCCCTGTTCTGTCTGAAAGGGTTTTCGTGGACTCTGGACATCTCTGGCTACCTCTAGAAAGCTCTACCTAGCTACTCAAAGCTACTCGAAGCTAGCTAGTACTCAGAGTACTAGTAGGTATTTTCATTCTTCACCCCCCACCAACCCAGCTAAGGATTGCTTGTTATCGGTACCATACTGAGAGTACTGTACTATCAGCTACAATGTACTCAGTATCAGCCAGCACCGTAAAGTAGTGTAAGCCTCTGCACACTTTAGCAATAATTGGAGCAATCCGAAGTACGTTTTGCAGCTGTTACGTGCATCGCAGCAGTACTGTAAAACGTTCAATGGTCGGCAACTGGTATTAACATCATCATAAAGCGAGGAGTTCGTTCGCAGTAAAAAACACGATCAGGCCTTCGATCATACTTTAGTGGCAGTTGATGTCGACTGCAATTTCTGAAGGTATCGAGAAGCTGATGCAGTCAAAGAGTTGGTACCAGGTATCAGTATTCTAACGGTACCGCCCGTACTTTGGACAAACTGATTAACCAAGACGAATTCCACAACTATCATTGCCGTTCGATCTTTCGATGCCCGGTGGTGGGTGTCAAGGATCATCCCTTTTGATTGGTGGAAGACAGCGTTTCTGACAGCTGCTTTTGTGCCAGTGTCTTATATATTATTGCCACTAGCTGGCATTATGAGAGGGGTATCCTCCGAGATGCAGTTGGGGGCCATAGAGGACCGCAAACCCAGCTTGTACACAACCAACCTGTACTAGCTAGCTAGCTAGTAGACGCGTCGGCTCAACCCAGCTTGGAGACCACCGACCAGCTTGCCAATCCTTGCTCCCTCCTTGGACCACTGCCCTCATTTTGCTCTTTTGCCCATCATCTGGTTGCCCATAAATTCTTCCAAGCGATTTCCTCCCAAGTTATCCACTAGCTATTCTAGCATCTGCTTTGAAAGAGGTATATCACTTCTACCTTCTACCGATACAGCGCTCACAAGTCCACAGAAAACTTTCAACGAAGACAACAAACTATGAAGCTCGAGAACAACGACAACGGCAACACCACCAGCGGCAACAGCTCTCCTCGGGTCGGCGAACACCCCACCATTTTGGAGGCTGCTCGCCTTTCGATTAGGGACGTGCAAGTTCCACTTCCCCAGAGGACCGGGGGAGGTGTTTCCAAGGACAACCTCATGTCGATTATTCAGAGGACGTTGGAGCTTGTCGAGGCTGAACTTGAAGATGACGATGACTTGTTTAATGCTTCCACTACTATCCCTTCGCTTCCCATGCCCCCTCCCAGGAACCACTTCCAAGGACGATTCCATCAGATGGGACAGTAAAGAAGGCATATGCTCACCTCACCTGCCTCCTCAGCCCTCGGCTCCTGCACCAAGCTATCGCACAAGACTATTCAACGAATGGAACCAAGGAGCGATTCTATTTCGTTTTATTGGGAAGGCTACACACCACTAGTCGACCCTCAGTCCCCTGTACATTCTACCCACTCACTGACAAATTTGAAGCATACATACCAAAACCAAACATTGCACCTCATCCTCATCGGTAGCCCTTTTGTAACCATACTACTAAGTGTTGTCAAAGTCACTAACAAACGGAATAGAGTAGCTCATACCGTAGTATTGATGTGTTGTCGAAGTAGCGACGCTTTGCTTCTTCTGGTACGTACCCCCGTTCACTCCTCCTCCTCTCGGTCCTCAGGGCTGGATGCTACCGTATGGTGCCGTTACAAGCACAGCCAAACACCCATTGCGCTGCATGGCTCACGAGCACCTTGCCGCCAAATCTAGCTAGACGAACTCTAGTACCTCCGATCCGCACGCTCGGGCGAAGAGATTGCCTGTTTGGTGGATCCACTACTCACTACCTGGTACCGCTCTCGAAGGAAACCACCGTACAATGCACAGAAAGAACAAGAGAGGGAGGGGGCTCTTCGCACCTTGCTTCCCTGCCTCATCATCTAGTTGTACAGAGTATAACGTAAAACAGGAACTTTCAAGAAGGCAGTGCAGACCGCCAACCGTAGATGAGGGCGAAACCAACGGAACTATTTGTTAGGCAACTTCAGACAAAGATACTAGGCTGCCAATCATATGTTGGGCCATAGGGGTTCCGATAAGTAGCTAGCTAGACAGCCCAATCCCATCCACTGCAGATGGCTGCAGGCACAAGAACAAGATAGTTGCAGCATAACCAGCAATAAACCGGACGTGTCGGAAGCCAATTGATCAATTGATCCGAGCTGCGATGCTGCAATATTCTACCGTGGCTAGCTACCGGTACCAGGTACTCAAAGTAGCTACTAGCTGCTGCAATCTGCCATTGTCAGCTTGTGTCTTGATGATTGATGGGTGCTAGGGTGGTGGGCGCTTTGCTTTGTGCTTAGACGCTTTGATATCGTACTGGTTTTTGAAACAGTTTTCGACAGCCAGTACAGCTGGAGCTGGTGCATGATACACTTTAAATCCCACAATTTGAGAGGATTTAGTGCTTGCATTTTGCCTCTTTACAAAGGGTTTTCGAATCTGTTTTGGACATGCCCTGTCAGGCAAGTCACCACATGGGATTTGGGAGCGGATTTAGGGTGCAAAAGGATTTCCTTTTGTGCTGCTGTGAATTTTTTAACTAAGGGCCAAGGGCCACAATCTTAATAACAGGGGAGGCTTCTGCTTTATTTGGACTCGACTCGGACTCGACTCGACTCGCATGATCCAAGGTGATTCTGAAGGAAGCCAGCAAAGATGTTTGGGCCCCGTTTCTTCCACGTGAAACATTGCAAGGATCCATCATCGTTTGGGATCTGAGCTTGATGGATGATGACTTCAACTTGGAAACATCAACGAAATTCCATCGCAAACCATGGGCAGGCACAACAGGGTACTAGCTAATAGCGATCTGACCTCTGACTTACTTGGCTATTACAACGACAAAAGAAGTCTCTTCTATCTGTTACTCTAGTTTCCACTAGCTAGCTAGCCATCAATAGAACCAGTCCATCCAGAAATTGTTGGACACACATCCCAAATAAGAAAAAATGAGGATTCCCACGCTAGTTTTCTCGTTGTTGGCAACCGCCGATGCCTTTACGGTTTTGCCATCGGTCCCCACGGGTGTGCGTTTGATTTCCTCCAAGCCAGTTCGAAGCCCTACTTGGATCCGAGAATCTTCCACAGCTGTCGCGGAAGCACCAGATGCTACAAAGACCGATTCAGCAGCGGATGACGACGGGGCAGATATCTATGCCAAGCTCGGTATCACAGAGGATCAGCTCTCCATCGGCGTCAAACCTGAAGAAGTATTGGAATGGATTGGAACGTGAGTAGAGAGGTGGATGGATATTGATTTAGTTGTGTTCCGGTTATCCTATGTGCTGCTATCTCACCTTTTGTCCTGTTTTCACCTCCTGAATGAAAAATCACCAACTGGATTTTTTTCTGGTCATGGCTGCTTCCCTTTGATGAATGTCTTGGTTTGGTTCATTTTCAATCTACAAATAAATCATTATCACCATTATTACACCATCATCAGCCGTGAAGTAATGGTGGAAAAGGCGATGCGCGATATCGAAAAATTCGACCGAGCAAAGGCAGAAGCGGAAGTTGACAAATACCTGATGGACCCAGAAGCTATCAACTATCACATTGAATTCAAAAAGAGGTTGGCCGATAACCCAGACATGCTTCAACCAGAGGAAGAGGAAGGGTTCTTTAGCTTTAGGACTTTGGTGATCGTCTACATTACCTACGTCTTTGGCGAGGTCGTCTACCGAAATTTTCTGGAACCAAGAGGTGTGGATCTGAGCTTTCTTCCAGGCTATGGACCAATTATACCCAAGGAGGAAGTTGTGGATGCAGTATCATCGGCAGTTTCGGATGGTAGTGTTGTGGACTCGGTTGTCCAGAGTGCTGTCGAAGCCGTCGACGCAGCATCCACAGCAGCTGATGTCATTGGAAACAGCATTTAATACCGTTATTTTATTATGTGTAGCTTTTAGGGAATGTAGGCAAAGCAATTGGACTACCAAATACTTTTGTCAACTTGAAAATCTTGGGTTTGCCACTAAAGTAAGACTAGTTGGGTTAAAACTGGTTCTGCTCGAGGAAATCCAGTTGCGCAAGATATACACAGGGGCGAGGAAGGTCGATCTTGGAATCCCACTTTGGGCACCAATTTGCGAAGGCAGTCCACAAGTGGATCATCTCCTGGACCCACCCCAGGTCCAACTCCGTGCCCCGCTCCTGGTCCATCGCCAGGAACCCCACCAGAGCCACTCCCGGGATCCACAGGTCTCCAAGCCCCACTTCTGGTCCGGGTTCACCCAAGGCCCCGCCCCAAGACAATCTGCTGGACCAACTCCTGGCCCCTCCTCTGACGCCACTCATGGACCAAGGCCTTAGCCAACTGCACCCTTGCGCCTCGACGTACTCTAGGTCCGGTCTACGACAGATCTACCCCTGGTCCATCTCCAGGACCCACACCGGGTTTGCCCTTGGGCTCCACTCCTAGACGAACAACAGTGGCCTACCCCTTGGACTACTACTCCAGGTCTCCAATGAGGGCCCACGAAGGCCATCTACCGGCTCTTCTGCTGTTGCCAAACCTGACCCACCAGCAGGAACTACTCCATATCATCACACCGGCCCCAATCCTGGACCAACTTGGGTTGATTGTCAAGCCTCATTCCCAGACAACTATGCCCAACGATACGACTCGATGAAGGGGCCGAGCATGCAAAAACCTGGGTGAACACCATAATCTATTGCTTTGCATATGTACAAGCTATATTTCTATATCATTTCGCTGCTATCTTTCATCGGTGCCATTTGACCCTCCAAACTATCAGTATCATCTCTCTTCTTGTATATCCGTTTGGCGACGCACTGATAGGTAATCACACTGAATCCAAATGTCACAGCACCCACAATCATTGCGTGATAGCTAGCAAGAAGCAACACCGTGAGGATGAAAAGCGCAGAAGGAATCACCATCAAACTACAACCAACGGTTCCAAATGGAACGCGATAGGGTCTCGGGACTTGTGTGTTCAGCGGCAAGGCGATGATGAGTACAAACGATCGCCAACGGGCAACCGCTGGGGTACATCAGAGCCACTTACCATTTGGTTGACTTATTCGTAGCTTTATGAAAGCGGCATACTCCAGTAGGAGGGCAATGCCATAGTTGAAATTCTGCATTTCAACGAGTTTATGAAGGCGTACCATGGATAGGAAAAATATGATGAACGTGGAAAAGATGATGGCATTCGTAGGAGTTCCACGTGAGCTTCGAACACCGAGGAACCGCGGCAAGAGCCCATTGTGGGCCATACCCATGAGTTTGAAGACGACACCGCTCATGACAGCTTGGTATAGAGCAATGTTGGAGACACCATTAGCAAAGATAAGCCAATTTCCCAGCCATGGACCTACTGTTTCGCCTGCCAGAAACGACAGATAGCCATTTTTCCAGTCTAGCTGGTTGCCACTCGACACACCGGTGGCAACAGCCACTGGTAAGAGGTAGAACACGAAGACTGCAAACCATGCAATGTTCAATGATCGAGGAATGACCTTTTCTGGCTGTCTCCCACAGTCCTCCGAAAATGTTGCTTTTAGGAGGGAGAAGGATGGGAAAGGGAGCGCTTAGACTACTAGCACTGGTACTTGCTGACGTCGTGGCACACAGTTTCTTTCACTTACCAGTTGAATCAAAGCAATTGTGATTGAAGAACAACGTGTTCAAAAAGGGTCTCAAGAGTACTCCTCCGAGAGTCGCGTAAGGGAAAAAGCCCCCTCCCAGTTCATACTCGGACTCTGCCATATAGCCCCCTACGGACAGCGAAGGTAACGCTAGCCAATTGCTTGCGTCTACTTGAAACATGCCAACCAGGACAAATATGACAAAGGGTGTCAAGGCGATGATTCCAATGAGCATTGTCGTGTTTCCAATACTATTCAAACCACTCCAATTGATGTATCCCATCACTAGGACCATAAAAGCGAGGACACAGAACCGTATATAGACCGGCAAATCCTGTTCTTCGTCAGCTGATCGAGGTATTTGTTCCAAGATGAAGTTGACAAACAAGCCCGGGAAGATTGCATTTCCGGTGATCCCAGACACCAGACTCAATACACCATTCAACCAAGCAATAAACGGACCAAATGCAGCTTCGCACCAAACCACGCTTCCAGAAGAGTGCGGGTATGCGACGCTTAACTCTGCAGTGATCTGATTCTCTTGCCAAGCAATGACAACTGGGGCTAGCATATACCCCAACAAGGCATAGAAAGCTCCCCCCGATCGGACTGCTTGAGTAGTAGAGAATGGACCTCCCGACACGCTAAAATACACAATGGCTGTTAGTGGCAGGACCGTCAGGGAATGCGCCTCTGGAGGTATCGGAATCGCCTGTGCTGTCCCGTCAAACGGATTTCGGTCCTTGAACCCATCCTTTGCACTCTTCTCCTGATGGCACGACAGTGAACCAGAGCGCCACGGTTAGAAACAAGCCACTGGAACTAGCTAGGATAGACGCACTGCATACAGTACCGTATGTTTCGTACCTCATCTGGCGACGACATTGCTTTTCCACCTCGGATGCAGAAGTGGAAATAAAGCAGAGTCAATCCTCGGTAATTCAGGAAAAGCTCGCCTTGGTGCTCCGAAAGCTGGAGCGACTATTCGCAGTGGCAGGCATAATGAAAACAGGTTGAGTTCTAAGTCATGTTCCTTCTTCCTGGAGAGGCTCTACTCTTACTCAAGTAGCGACCAGGTCGAAGTCGACAGTCATTTTTTGCAAGATACGAAGATACCTTTTTCTCGAATTTTGTGAGCTGAAATTTGCCAGATGCTGGGGAAACTCGCACTAAATCTCTCAATTGATAATTAGATTTAACTAGCAATGCGTGAGTCGATCCACCACCCTACCGGTATCCGGCACCGTACGAGTACTGCCGAAGCCCTTTGGAATCTGAATGTGTGTCTGCTCTCCTATTTCCTGCTTCAAATCACAAGTTACAAAGTAATGGTGCAATGCACTACAATTTATGGTCGAGTCTGCGATAATTCACGTCGAGGACATCCAAGCGCTTCAGATGAGAATCTAGACGGCCAAGAAAATTCTCAAAGCTCTTGCCTTCCCTGGGGCTCCAGACTACCTCCGAGAGGGCTGTCAAGCGTGGGAACGCCATGTATTCTACATGTTTGGGGTTTGGAAAATACTCGGACCACAGCTGCCCCTGAGCGCCAAGGACATGATGGCCTTTGCCGGCAGTCAATAATTCTTCCGGCATGGGCTCATAACTGTAGACTTTTTCCAGGGGTAGATTACCACCAATGGCGAGTGGTTCTGCAAAAACGTCATCTGTTTGGCAATGGTCCAAGTAAGTATGGCTCGCCGGAGCAAACACGACACTGTGCCCCTCATTCGCGGCTTGGATGCCACCTTCCGTCCCACGCCACGACATGACGGTAGCATTGGGTGCTAGTCCACCCTCCAAGATTTCGTCCCACCCAATCAAGCTGCGCCCATTCTCATTGAGGAAGGACTCGATTCTCTTGATAAAATAGCTCTGAAGCTCGTGTTCGTCCTTTAGATTCTCGTTTTGGATGCGTTTCTGGCATTTGGAGCATTCCTTCCAGCGTGCCTTGGGGCATTCATCCCCACCAATATGAATGTACTTGCTGGGGAAGAGTTCCATGACTTCGGTGAGTACATTCTGCAGAAACGTAAAGGTTGCTTCGTTGCCGGCACAAAAGACGTCTTCCGAAAAGTGCCACATGGTGCGCACTTGATAGGGACCATTGGTGCAGCCAAGCTCTGGGTAGGCGGCGAGTACGGCAACGGTATGGCCGGGCATTTCAATTTCTGGTACCACAGTAATGTGACGCCGTGCGGCGTATGCCACAACCTCTCGGATATCATCTTGGCTATAGAACCCGCCATGGCGGCGTCCGTCAAATACTCGTGGATTGTTGCGATGGTGGCCAATCAGCGTTTCGTCCCGCCAGGCACTGATTTCGGTGAGTTTGGGATACGCTTTGATTTCAATCCTCCATCCCTGATCTTCCGTGAGGTGCCAATGGAATGAGTTTAGTTTGTGAAACGCCATCAAGTCGATGAGCTTCAATACAAATTCTTTGGGCATGAAATGGCGACCGCTGTCCAAGTGCATGCCACGCCATTTGAAACGTGGAGTATCTTCAATGCCAACACAAGGAATGGTCCAGGTAGCGTCCTTCACCATGGCTTTGCGGAATATGTTGGGCGGCAGTAGCTGCAAGAGGCTTTGAATACCGTAAAAGAGACCCTTGGCTGTGGCAGCTTTGATCTTGACATTGCATTCCGAAACATCCAGAGTGTACGCTTCGTCATCCATAGGATCATCATCATCATCAGTTGTTCTGATTAGAGCAAGGCTAATATGGCCTTTGCAATCACACTCTTGGCTCAATGTCTTGACGGCAATTTCCAATCCAGAAGATGGTCGAATCACCTCCGCCAGGAATTTGGCTTCGGCCAGAGCTCCTTCCGATGCGTAGATGCAGGAGGATTCCGTTATAGTAAAGTGGCCACTCTTTTCTTCCACCCTAACAGGGCGTGGTATGATGGCGATTCTGTTTGTTGTTGCCGTCAATCCTTTCATCTTTGCTGACAATAATAACCAGACAAACTAACAAATGGGAGCAATGCAGCAGCAGCAGGAAAGCGAGCGATGGCTTCTCTCTCGGCTTGCCACTCCAAAAGATCCGCCGATCCGCCATGAAATGAAAGATCCGTCTGAAATTGCCAAAAACGGATAAAGCACCCCAAAAAGTACGAAATTTGCACCGTCTCTCTATTCTACTACATGTACATCTTCCGACCGAATAGCCCATCTCAGTTTACAACAGGAGCTTCGGGGGTTGTTTCTTCTCTCGGCAGCCGTCGGACGATCAACATGTCGCGACCAACTGCTGTAAATGCCACTCTTGAACCCGGCTTTGAAAGCCTTCTTGACGCGACGATCCTCTCCGCTGTGAAAGGTGAGAAAGACGGCTCGCCCACCCGGTGCCAGGACAGAGGGCAAGTCTTGCAAGAGCTGTTCCAAAACAAGGAATTCACCATTGAGTTCAATCCGCAGTGCTTGCATGACACGAGCGACGGTACTGTCGAGTTGTTTCTTTTCCACCTTCTTTGGTTTATTGGTAGCTTCCAACAGGAGTGGTTCGACAATCTCGCGTACGCGTGTCGCTAGTTCGATGGTTGTTTCTGGAATTGTATGCTTCTTATTGTGTAACAATCCAAAGGCGATTTCAGTCGCATAGACCTCATCCGAATTCTCTTGCAACATGCGTTTCAGTTGCTTGGGTTTCAGTCGACAAAGTAGCTCATAGGCTGTTTCTCCCTCATTGTTGTTCATGCGCATATCCAGTGGTCCTTCTCGCTTGTAGGTGAATCCTCGATCATTATCATCAATCTGCATGGACGAGAGACCCAAGTCAGCCAACAGCGAAGTCACCTTGCCCACTTGACCCGTCGACTCGAGGTGAGATTTCAGAGTGCAAAAGTTTTGATTGACGGCAGTGAGTTGAACAGAGTGACAGTCGTCGTCATCGCCGTCAGGAGACAGTAATTCCTCTCGTAACCGAGCCTCCGTCTTGGCAATCTCCAACGAATCTTGATCAAAGGCAATCAGTTCACTATTATGCATATTTGGGACCTGTTGTTGTTGTTGTTTCAGAGCCCTTAGTATGTGAGATGAATGTCCCCCATATCCTAATGTGCAGTCGACTACCAGCAGTGGTTCGTCGTCCTTCTTCTCTTTCCCTAGTAGCCCCATGTGTTGCAAACATTCCTTTAGCATGATTGGTACATGCGTTCCTGCAGGAGTCATGCCCTTGGCGAGCACTTTGGATATCGTAGCGTCGTCTCCCGCATGTTCCTTGTACTTGTCCTTGAAATTGCGAGGATACTTTCCCGCATACCGTACACGCCTTGGTTTTTTCTGTGCGGCGTCTTCTTCTATTGGCTTGGAATCTAAGGTTGCACTCAGCTCAGTTTTTCGTTGTTGTTCAACACATTGAATCGATGGATGCTTCGTGGCTGTTGATAGCGAAAAGGCGATGGTATCATGATTGTTCAAGCATAGCAATAACCCGACGACGATCCATTGATTCTTCGTCACCATCATGGTCAGAGGAATATTTGTGTGGTCCCAAAAGATCCTCCCCATGCACCAGGGCAAGATCCAACGGAAAATTCCAAAAACGACAAAAGTAAAAGGAGTTAAATTGAATTTTTTTAAATGTCGTTTTTATCATTTTCTCCCTTCCAGCCATGCAATGGACCAAATCGCGGATGAAGGTGCCCCCTTTCATGAGCTCTCTTGACAAGAGGTGCACCACGGAAGGTCTGGTCTATGTAGGCCCCATGGTGGCTTTGCACCATGACACAACAAAACGCAGAACCAATGATGAATCGAATCCACAGGTGAGTCATCAGGACACCAGAATGTTGGCTGCAGTTAGAAAAGTGGGTATCTTATCGTACTACCCCTGAAAGATGAAATTTGATGAATATGCATTCGTTTACGTCTCTACTACTTCATCTCTAAGTCTGCCTTGGATGAGTTGTAGGTGGCCAAAAACTTTTCCATGTGCTTGAAAGGAAAGGTTCTCTTTCCCATTGGATATTCCTTCTTGAATTCTCCAAGCGGTGGCTCTCCCCTGTAATGAGCCAAGAAGCCAAGTGGAGCTTCAACATGCAGCATTTCAGGTTTCGACCAAGTCTTTGTCAAAATGGCATAGTGAACTTCAAACAACAGCATCCTATCAGGTCGCATGATCAGCTTGACATCACTTTTGTGGACCTCAGTGAGACACTTGCGGGCTGCCAAGGGACTAGCTTGTAGATCAACCACCTCATCCCCATTGCAATACTCAACAACTAGTACAGGTTGACCACAATGTATACAAAAAGAGGAAAGCAAACAAGCAAGTTAGAAGGAAGCAGGATATGTATGTGCAACCGCAAGCCACACAAAGCACAAGCCTTCTTACTGGTGGGTTTGAATTTGACTCCATCATACTTGTCAGCAACACCTGCCATGAACTGAGCAACTGTTTTGCCATTGTACAGTACAAAGAACTCATCTACATCCATGGATGCAAAGAATCTAGTCCGTGTCCCCATTCGATGGAGTGCCGCCACACTGGCTGCCGCTTGTGCCCAGGGCATGAACATCCCCTTTCGGCCTTTTCGATCATCATTGAAGCAATCTTCCAGAGGAAACCATCTATATGTAACCAATCCAGATTCAACGTAGGGCTGCAACAAGGATTCCAGTGCCCCATGTGGTTGTTCATCATTGTCATATATCACAAAGTGATCAAATCCTTGAGCTTGGTGGTAGGCAATCCATTCCTTGACCCGATAGTTCGGTGAGACTGTCTCATTCTTCTTGGTGAGGAAGTGATTGAGCAAGTAGGTTGACTTGAGCCGGGTGTAAGCAGTGAGATTGTAGGTCATTGAGGCGGTTGTAGCTGGATGACAGACAGGAATGTTTGGAATCTTTGGCAGGTCCGAAATGGCTTCACTGGGAAACTCTCGTATATGGTACTGTTCTGTTGTGTTCTGTTCCAGATCATGAAGAGCATGCAAGTCAACATGCAACTTTGTTGTTGTTTGACCTGGTTGGACTTGATCCTGAAGTTGCTTTGGTACCTTGCAGCGAAAGACAAAGTTGTATCTAAAAGCTCGAGCACTGGGTGCCACAAACTCAGAAATGACTGGGATGTTTCCATTGAACATGCACATGAAGCGGTATCCATGAGAATCGTGTTGAGCAAAGTCATCCTGTTTGGAATTTTGGTACTTCTGGAGACAAGTTCCTCGATTGATCCCAATGAAAGTAACATAGTCTACTTCCTGGGTTGTGAACACATCTGCCAGATAGGGCAAACCAGAGTGATCCTGGGGCCATGGATATGATCTGTAGTCAGTGCATGAAGAAGAAACCACATCTTCTTGTAGCTTTTCACCTCCTTCTTGCTGATGTTCCCCTCCAAGCGATCGTTTTTCATTAGGGTATGCTGCACCACTGCCGGTGAACACAGCAATCCCTCCAATCGAATGTGCAACAGATGACACACTTATGAAGCACAAGGCGGTCAAAATGGCCAAAGCCACGTGGAGCATCCTTACACGCTGTTCGCGTTCTGAATGGTCCATGTGGAGTTTGCTGTTGTGGTGGCGAGGAAGAGTCGTACTGGCATTTTCTGTGGCGTCCATGGTGGCCTGTAGATACGATTCTTTTCTTTGGAGATGATGATGATCAGGAAAAATCACAAATTATGCACAAGAGATATCCAACAATCCAAATGTCCTCTGCTGGATCTCGAATCTCTATGGCCATACGCCATGCCAGGTTCGGTCAAGTTCTTCTACACTGCACATATTGGGATGAACTGAAGGTATGCGTAGCAATAGGTATCGGTCGCAGCACATCGTGGATGGTCAGGCTTCGTTTGGTTTATCCGAGAAAAAGCTGGTATGGGTCCCGCAAGACTGAGCAATGACGACGCTCGCAACTCTTCGCCTTGTTGCTGCATCGACTCGACTCCCACTCGGCCAGTCCAACTTCTAAGCCGAAAGCACACAATCTTCAGGGTCTTTCGTTCAGAAGCTCTTCGAATCAGCCACAAGTGTGGGACACTCAAACCATGGGCAAAAGAAGGAGGGGAGCGGACCAACCAGCAGCTGCTCATTGCCGCCTCTTTTATACGAAGACGACAATTCTTCGTAACGAAGATTGGTGCTTCCTATTTCGTTTTGAATCATGCAGAAGCTCCAGCTTGATCGATGGAGCAGCTTCCGAAGCCCAAAGAGTTTCAACTTTCTCCGTCAAACGGCACCATGTTTGGGTTTCGCAACGGGGCACTCGACCACGCCCAAGCGACGCACACCGTAGCTTGCCTAATTCCACTCGCTGCATGTACTATGTTGGTCATTGCGTCATTGCAAGTGTATTGGTACGGATCAATTTGACTCGTTCCAATGTGCTGTCTTGCAAAAGTCTATATGATCTATTTTGTATGCTTGTTTCGAAGTGGTGACGGTATGATGTATAATCATCTTTCAGATGGATTGGATGTGTTGTGGGTGGCCACAAAGTTTTCCATATGCTCGAAAGGAAAGGTTCTCTTTCCAGAAGGATACTTCCTCTTGAATTCCCCAAGGGGTGGCTCTCCCCTGTAATGTGCCAAGAAGCCAAGTGGTGGCTCAACATGAAGCATTTTGGGTTTGGACCAAGTCTTTGTCAACAAGGCATAGTGCACCTCAAACAACAACATTCTATCAGGCCTCATAATCAGCTTGACATCACTCCTGTGAATCTCTGTCAAACACTTGCGGGATGCCAGGGGACTAGCCTGTAAATCAACCACCTCATCCCCATTGCAATACTCAACAACTAGTATGACAAAGAGTCGGGAGCATGAGTTGAATAAAAGAACAGCAAGCATCAAAGGGTTAGAGCCACGGCCAATACCACATCATGTAGCACTTGTAAGGCAGAACTTACTTGTGGGTTTAAATTCAACTCCATCATATTTGTCATCAACACCTGCCATGAACTGAGAAACAGTTTGACCGTTGTAGAGGACAAGATACTCATCTACATCCATGGATGCAAAGAACCTAGTTCGTGTCCCCATTCGATGCAATGCTGCTACACTGGCTGCAGCCTGTGCCCAAGGTGAGAACATGCCCCTTCGGCTGTCTGGGTGATCACTGATGCAATCTTTCAATGGAAACCATCTATATGTAACCAATCCAGATTCAATGTAGGGCTGCAACAAGGATTCCAGTGGCCCATGAGGCTGTTCATCATTGTCATAGATGACAAAGTGATCAAACCCTTGTGTTTGGTGGTAGGCAATCCATTCCTTGACTCGGTAATTGGATGAGACAGTCTCGTTCTTGAAGGTGATATAGTGATTGAGCAGGTAGGATGACTTGAGTCGAGTGTAGGCAGTGAGATTGTAGGTTTGTGTTGTCCCTCTTTCCCCTGTAGTTGAAGTTGAAGGATGACAGACGGGGATATTGGGGATCTTGGGCAAGTCTGAAATGGCTTGACTTGGAAACTGTTGAATCTTGTATTGTTCTGTGGTGGGCTGTTCCAAATCATGAAGAGCATGCAAGTCAACATGCAGCTGTGTAGTTGCTTGGCCTGGTTGGACTTGATGCTGAACTTGCTCTGGTACCTTGCAGCGAAAGACAAAGTTGTACCGAAATGCTTTGGCACTGGGTGCCACAAACTCTGAAATGACTGGGATGTTTCCATTGAACATGCACATGAAGCGATATCCATGAGAATCGTGTTGAGCAAAGTCGTCTTGTTTGGATGTTTTGTACTTGTGGAGACAACCACCTCGATTGATCCCAATGAAAGTAACATAGTCTCCCTCTTGGGTTGTGAAAACATCTGCCAGATAAGGCAAACCAGAGCGATCCTGGGGCCATGGATATGATCTGTAGTCAGTGCATGAAGATGATAATGCATCATGTTGTTGTGGTTGTTGTTGTTCCTCGCTAACAGCTAGGAATCGTTGTTCATTGTATGCATGACCACCACTGGTGAATACTCTGGTGGAATGAGCAACTGATGAAACGCCGATGAAATACAAGATAATAAGGATGGTAACCACATCGAGCATCCTTACGCGCTGCTCACGTTTTGAGCATATGTCCTTGTTGAGCTTGATGCCGTGGGATTGCTGGTAGTGATGATCTGGAAGGGTGGTGTCATTGGCAGGGATGTGCATTGTTTTTTAGTGCTTAGGAAAAGGAAGAAATCGTAATATGTACCATATTATCCTACGATTTTCCTGTCTGGATCAAGTGCAAGGATCGTCTTCTTCATGCTTGTTGAGATCGCTCTTTTACAACCATGCACCCCACCGGCTTTGTAGATAACGTGCCCACATCGTACTCGTACTCTTTAGAACCCCGCCTTTCGCAATGTGGCTTGCCACTTGAAGGTTCATTCATGCGTGGTATCAAAATCGACTTTGCTTACTGTTGATGGCCAGACGGTTCAAAAATGTCAGACAAATTCCAGCTGGAACCGACGGATGAAGGGATCGATTGTCGGATCGAGATGATGTGGAAGCTTGATGCCCATGGCAACAAGCGAAGACCAGATCGGTAAGCAACACCCCTTTTCGCTACAGCATTTGCTATTATAACGTTCAAATAACACAACAACGAAATACTGAAGATGGTGATACTGAGGGTTTCTAGTCTCCTTCTGCTGGGATCTTTGATCTGCAACTCTCTGGCTTTCACATCTCCGACTGCCTCCAATCTGCGCACTCTCACCCATCAATCCACAATTCTGAGGCATACCAAATGGCAGCCAGTAGCACCATCACCCATCCACCAATCTCCTTATAATCCGGTTGCACAGCGAACATCGACTCCCGTCACTCGTCAGTCACCTCTGTTTGGTCAACTACGAAAAGATGGTGGCAAGGAAGCATCATCCGTGTCCGCCCTGACGGCCGTTTGGAGGAGACTAATCGCATGGTTCCAGGTCCTACCTCGCAGTATCCGCCATAGCAAACCTGCCAAGAGCATTCAACGTGCTGTGGTGGTGCTAATGGCCAGTGCCATGATTTGGCTAGGAACGGCCGGATCGTATACCCCTCCCGCATCGGCCGCCGCACCCGCCATAGTGGAACGGATCCTACCAGCCTCCCAAGAACAAATTGTGGATCGTTACATCCGACAACACATGTTTGACGCCGATGACATGCAAGATCCATTGGAATCGGCCTACCGAGAAGCCGCCGCCGATTACAAGACCGATGGCAGTTATCCCCGTGCCCTCAAGGAAGTCGCCGCCGATGTCTTGGGCAAGGGAAGCGTATCGGTCGGCAAACGGGCCGACGACGGTGGCGTCTTTTTGAATGCCCTCCAGTCGGTTGCCCGATTCATGGAACGACGCGTCGGTGTCAGTGAATCCACGGCACTGGCCATTGTGGCGGGATCGCTGGTGATTGCCACACCCATTACCGGTATGATGGTGGCCATGATGATTGGAACACAATCCAAACGTAGTATGAATCGACTCATGAAATCAAGATATGGTGAAAGTTATACGTAAGTTTGTGCTGTCTTTCTTCTTTCTCATTGAATTGTGTTGTGTTGTTGGGTGGTTTGGTAGATAAGGTATCTCACCCGTGATGACGCTTTGGTTCTCCCTTTTGAAATGTTAGTGTGGACGCTACAATCAAGGAAGTTTCAGACGATGATGACGATGAAGACGACGACGATGATGATGATGACGACGAAGGTGGCGATGACGATGATGACAGTGACGAGAAATAGATGCATTGTATTGGGGGCTGGTTCATTCATTCCTTGTCAGAAGCATTTCGTTGACTACTACTGGTACAGATTCAGTTTAGCTACATAGTTACGATGCATGTTATGCGTATGTCGAATGTTGCACATGCCATCTACGAGCTACCGGTAGAAAAGAATGATTCAATCGACTCGACTCGACTCTGCATTGTCACATAGTACGAGCAGCTATCACACAACCGTAAACAGTTTTTGGTCATCCTTTGCGGCTGCCATGACAATTGTATCGTAGACTGCAATCGTGTCAACACACACTCCCAGGGCAACATCAGTAGATTGAAATGTCGTTGTACTCTCATAATTCGTCCCGGGCAGTCAGACTTTGATTATCGCTTGGATGGTGCGTTGGCGTTCTTTTCCAAACGATCCATCAAGGCATCGACAGCTTGGGTAAAGAGCGTACTTCGAATGGGCATTTCCAATTCGTAAAAAGGATCCTTCAAGGCGCAGTCGGCGTACAAAATGTAAATTTCAGTCAGAGCAGTGTCCATGTCTGGAGTCCCTTCTTCTGCACTGCAATAATAAAAAGGTAGACAACCAATATAATTAGGCACAGTGCCAGATGTCAGAATACACCCGGCTAGCTAGCCACTGATTTGCAACTCACGTAATGACAAATTTAATTCCCGTTCTTGTTTGAAAGCTGCTCAGTACCATTCCTTTGGCAATGATCTTCTCAATACCATCGTCTGCCCCGTCTATTAAAACAAAATGAACATGACATATAAAATGAGGCAATGGAAGGATGAGATAAGGAGTCGCAGCAAGGAACCGATGCTTCCGCGCTACACCATCCAGAAAATCGCAATAGCAACGCAACGTACAGTTATTCTTGTTATTGGGAAGCCTCAACGGCGATGCCTCGGCAGCAATGGCGTGCAAGGAATGAAAGGTCGACCCAATTCGAAGCCACTCATTGATATCAATCTTGGGGGCGTTGGCGCTTAACGGCCGATGATGGATGAGACTCCCTGATTTATTCACAATGAACAGGTGGAGGAATGCCATGGTGGAATGGAGCAATGCTTTCGGCTCGACGATAGTAGTACCAGAGTTGTTGACAGAGCGCTTTGCCATTGTCGGCTATCTGTCGGCTGTTGAATATGGTTTGGATCTTTCATCAAAACCCTAGCCCTACCGTTTCCTCGGTTTTCCGGTACAGGTACACATCGCCCGGAAAGATCCATCATCCATCATCAAATAATTATTCAGCACCACCCCTACCACCCACCAAACCAACAACAAAAAAACGCTCCACTTGTCCACCTCTCCATCTCTTTCCGAATATGGATAGAGGTGATGAATGCCAACAACAGCAACAGGCCACTGCTGCAAGCCTCTCGGCAGCAGCCGTGCGGTCTTTCCTCATTGGGAAGATACTTTTGATCCCAAGACTGAAAAAGCTCAAGGCCGCACGCACGTTCCAGCCCCAAGACCATGCCAGTGAAGTGAGCCATCGCGCACTTCGATTTGGTCGGATGCCCTCCAACGCCTTAAATTATGGTGGAATGTATGGGTCAGGAGTCCTCTTGTTTGAGGGTCACTCATGGGCTCTCCGGAAGCTACAAGCTGCAGAAGCTGATGTAGACACGGCCCCAGCCGAGCAATCCGCATTGGCAGGATCATTTGGAGGGTTCTTGTATGCTATTACCGCCACTCCCGTGGTGTCGCTCCTGCGAATGCCGCCATATGCCGATCAGTCCCTCCTGGAATGGTCCAAAATTGCAATCCTCAAACCACTACAATACACCATTCCCAGAGACTGTGGTGGCTTTGCCCTCTACTTTGGCACCTACACATTTTTACGCACAAAATTCAATGAGGATCAATCTTCAGCAGATGATTTCAAACACTTTTGCACAACATTGGAAACTAAGGACAAATATCTACGTGCCCATGATGATCTTGCCATGGATGTCCTGGCCAATATTGGCACGGCAATGGTGTCAGGGTCCGGGGCGGGAGTCTCCACATATCTTTGGCGCAGCCCGTGGGATACGTTGTACAAGCGAAGCATGGGATGGCGCCCTGCAGATGCTCCACTATTTTCCAGTGCAAGGTTCCTGACATCGCCTCGAGGGATCACGGCGGTCGCCATCTCAGGAACAACTTGGGCTGTCTATGAAGCTGCCATTCTCGCCGTCACGTTTCTAGAAAAGAAGGGGTATCTACAATGATAATACAAATTGGTGATGACGAGGTGCGTGCAAGAAGACATTCATAGAATAGAAAGGAAGCACCATGCATTGTGGGACCAACAACTAACTAGTTGAGATATCCGTCGATGGATTCTTGGTGAGTCAAGGGACGGAGTTGGAAGGGACTGTCCTCTCACTTGATCGGTGATGGCACGCCGAGGGAATTCATGGTTAGGGGGGTCCGGACAGAAACTTGCCGAAATCCCCGACGCCTTGCCTTAGTTGTTGATGCTGACAATCCAACCCCTGTTGGAATGCTCTTGCGCAGTTTGTCCAAGACAAAGTCAAGAACTCAAGCTCAGTTGGAATATTTAAAATCCAAAGCCATGATCTTGCTTTGGCTGGATGATTCAAATAGGATGAAGAAAGACTAGTTTAGATTGAGATCTGGAAGCCTTGCGCATGGGTTGTCTGCTTAATAAAACACACATCAACTGATCCGCTGTCAATCTGGACTCTAGACCCCCGTAACATCTATGGAGACGATTCAGTACCACTCTTGCTGCCTGTCATTTGCCAACCTTAGATTGAAGCTGAAGTTGCCTTCGTATAAGAAGATATATTGTTCGAGGTACTGGGATAACACAAAAGTCTACTAGTCTATACAAGAAGAGGACGGCTAAGCCCAGACAGATCACTAGATACAAGACATAGTAGCAGTCTCGTTAGTGAGCAAGTAGTTCAAATGAATCATCATTATGTACATGTATTGTTTACAGCTGAGCCAATCAAAAGTGGGAACCACAACACATGGAAAGATCTGCTATCTAAATGGGGACCACTCAAAATCCAAAAACCCAGAGCACAGTGCCATCAATCAATCTATCCTCGAAACAGTTGACAGAGATAGATTGTCCCCTTCTTATCCTTTGCTGTTGCCATTCCCATTTCCACGTATCGGTCATCAATGACATTGGCAAAGCTGGAGTGGTGGTTCATCAGACGAGTCTGAATGCTGTCCGTGGACTTTCCCTTGTAGACATTTTCACCCAACCGACGCTCCGGTTCTTGGCTTAGCTTGGCGCAAAGCTCCTTGGGGTCCGAGTGAAACACTCGCGATTCGGCTGCCATGGCTTGGGCGTGCCATCGGGCCAATTCATCCAGCTCTTGGCTTCTCTTGAGAGCTTCCAATCTGTTGTCTTCCAGCTTGCGATTGGCATTGACTAGAGAGTGATTGCCCCACAGAAACTTGGTGGCCTTGGAGGATCCCTTCTTTTTCAGGTTGGTTTTGGTCTGCTTGCTTTTTGTGTGGCCGGTGGCTTCTTCCTTGCGACGCACAATGGCCAATCCTTCTCCGCTATACCGCTGGCGAGCACCACTGGAAGAATCATTCAGGAACGAAGCCGACATGGTGGCACTGGTAACGTCCGTCACGTCCTCCTCCCCCTTGGCGAGATATCGGGCATAGATGTGATCCCAGGCTTCACAATCCCTCCAGGTGTGCTGGAAGGGTATAGGCTTGCCATCTTTGCCTACCTCAGGTTCAAAGGACATGCATTGGCCGCCGCCTTTGTCCCATTTCTTGGTGAAGAAAGAAAACAAGGATACCATGGTCTTGAATATTTTAGTAGATACTGAGTGATAGAGGGCGTTTGAGAGAAGGGAAGTCGACGCTTGTGTTCGGTTGTTCGGTTGAACTTTTTATGCTCTCTGAAGTTGTCTCTGAGCGCTTTTTGATCTAGCTAGCTAGCGCTTTCCATCGCTTTTGAGCTTGATGAGCCCTGACGAAGGAGCAAGGAGCGAAAGGGCGACTTGGAGCTTGGAGACAGCATCAGACCTCCGCACCGTACTCCATACGGTACCAGTTAGATGTCGTGCCCCAGCATGAAGTTTCGACATGCAGCATCTAAATCTGAGATTATTTGCGTGCCTTCCTGATGCAGCCTGATGCACGGGCAACACGGGCATTAGACTTATTGACTGGATCAACTACGCGTAGCTGTACTACTATTACAAGTATCCTGGACATGATCAACGGGACCGCGATATGGCAATTTCCACTTCACTTTTTGAAGAAACACCTGTGTGACGAACCCCTTAATTCTGAGGAGCTTTCCTTTCGATGTACACTAGGCAATCAGCTAGGCAATCACACTTTCGGCAGTAGGTGAATTAACGCATCCCTGACTGGATATCGACGCTTTGGATCAGCATGTTTCGCCGATACCCCTCTTATCATCTTGTTAAATAAATAGTGTACGTGATTGGGTTACGAAAGTGTTCTAGAGAAGTCCGAGGTTAACCATTTCCTCACTGGTGCTTTGACTGTGCTGTGACAGTACAGTAACCGCAAGCGTTGTGGGAGTTGTTGCTGGTTTGAGCCGACGAGCCGACATTCTTCTGCAAGAAATCGCGTCGTAAAAGAATCTTCAATCTGGAGTGACTCTCGCATGGTTGATACGTTGATACAGCTGTTGATAGAGCTGTTGATAGAGCAGCTATGACATACACGCACACAGGGCACTGATGCACTGACTACTACATGAGCTACTACTAGCTAGTCTACAATGTCATGTACATGTTGTATGTACTAGAGTACAGATGAGTAGATGATGCTTTGATACCAGCTAGCGTATGATACGTGTAGAGCAACCCGTGAAACCGGCAACGGAGCGAGGTTTAACAATTTCCTCGCTGGTGCTTTGTGGGTGTTGCTGGTTTGAGACGCTGAGCTGAGACGCCCACCAATAAATCGCACGAGCTTCGCACGGTGAAAGAATGCGGAGACGACGACAGTCGAGTTACTCTCGCGTGGTTGATAGCTGATAGAGCAGCTAAAGAGCTAAAGGCTACTAAATGGCGTTGATGCATTGATGCTTCCATACTGAGTATCAGGTACTAGTAATAATACTATGAGCTACTACAGCCATGTACTATAACGATACCTGTGAAACCGGCAACGGAGCGAGGTCGATGCACATAAAAGCTACCAGACACTATTCACACCGTACAACGGTGAGCGCTAGCATGTGCTGTTGCTGGAGCCGAAGCCGAAACTTTGATGCAACGATGCAACCGCTCGAGTAGTATACTAATAAACGAATCTTATCTGCATAGGCTGTAAGAGTTGACTTCTCTCACCTAGCTTCGACACTGTTCGAGGAAGGACTCTTCAAGGGTCGCGGTTTGCTGCGCATTAGAGGCTTCCCTTCCGGTCCCTTCCTCCTCTTCTGAAGGGTTGAGAAGAGGAGGGCAATATGGGTTGTTGCATCGAAGCCGATTTTGATTCGTTTTTGAGCAAGACCAGACTTGCCTAAAGTCTGGCTAGCTCAGAGGTGCATGTGGTCAATAGCTAGAGCGCTAGAGGCCCTACCGGTATCCGGATCGCTCTTGTCGATGGTTGCGGGTTGCGGGCTGTGTTTGGTTTGATAGTCCAGTACCGGTAGTACTCCTGGAGTAGTTGTTACTTGTAAAAGTACATGTAGAGTTATATCTTGCAAAGGAAGAGCGGAATGGTGCCTTGGTGCTTTGCCCTGAGCACGGGGACCAAAGGAACAGGTTGGGGAAATCAGACAATCAGACTAGCTAGCTGTCTCTCGCACCACTTTTACAATCCTGAATCCTGAAGCTTCGAATCGAATCGAATCGAACCCCAAGCAACAAGTAATTGTCTGGAAACCTACCGCCATGATGTCCTGCATCCTGCATACATGTACCGGTAGATTTACCGGTATTCAAAACATTGTTGATGCCTTTCTCTGTACTGCACCGACCCAGTAGCCACGTATGCGGGCCATTCTGCGCGGATCAGACATCTTCCAGCATGCCCATGCACCAATCACCCCACACTCTCTCCTTCCTCTTGACTGTCCCGGACGGACTTGTTGGTTCCAGGTGCTGGTAATAGCCCTTTTTGATCCTTCGGTATCGGTACCTTCGGTACCGATATGGCGCGGGAGTGGAATGCAGGAAACTTATCTCTAATCCTAAAGAAGATCCAAATTGGATCCAAATTTATCAGCTTGCCTCATTGATTGACCTCCACCCATCACCCTTTACATGACCTGGATAACAAACTTGGAGTTGGAAGAGCAAACATGAGGAAGCATTGCGGTACCGTCTATCCGCCTATTTGGAGCACCCTTCTTCTGCCGTTGCTGTTCCTTGTTGTATTCGAAGGTCAAAATGGAGTGTTGGCCTTTTCGCCGTTGCATCCGGGTGCCAACAACTTGTTGTATGGTCGTCATCCCTGCAACATACCCAACCGATTATTACCTTTGGGCAACAACCTTCCTTGCAGAGCCAAAGGCTGTGCAGCTCTTTCCGACTCGTATAGAATACGTGGTGCCAGCTCCCGACAGACAACCGCTCTGTCTGCCATTCCAATTCGCATGGCATCCTCCACTCTCAAGACTCTGCACGGAGACTCTACGTTTGTCTTGACAGCCATCCTTTGGCTCTCGACCTTTGGAATTTCTCTGGAGAAACGAACCACACTTGGAAAAGCGCTCTCGGTAAGAACTGGTGTTCAGTGTTTGGATGAATCAATCTTTTTTGTTGTAACCCTTCTAACATCTTTAATGGTACTACTATTATTTATTATTATAGGCACCACTAGCCACCATGGCATTGGCATTGACAGTGGCCAATCTCGGCATTATCCCATTTGAATCTCCCATTTACGCCATGACCAATCGCTACTTGATCCCGTTGGCAGTTCCCATGCTCTTGTTTGATTCCGACTTGAAACGAGTCGTGACCGACACGGGGTCCTTGTTGCTGGCGTTTGGCGTGGGAGCCGTGGCGACCGTCGTAGGCACACTGGTGGCATTTCCCTTGTTGCCACTCACGTCCATGGGTCCCAATGTCGGTTGGCGTGTAGCGTGTGCCTTGGCAGCGCGACACATTGGTGGAGCCATTAATTTTGTCGCCGTGGCAGAAACGTTGAACATTAGTGGATCGGCCGTCTCGGCTGCCATTGCCGCGGACAATGTCGTGGTGGCACTCTATTTTGCATTTCTGTTTGCCATGTCTCCAGAAGGAGAAGACGACGACGACAATGAAAGTGACAATACACAAACAGAACAACCACAATCCACAGATGCCATCAGTGTTGTAGACCCCGAATCCGTCAGCGACACGTCATCCTCCAGCGGCAGTAGCAATATCAATCTATCCACACTGGCCGTGGCCATTTCCGTTGCATCCACATTGGTGGCGGGGGGTCGTGGCATCACCCGTTGGATCCTTCCTCCCGGCACATCGGCACTTCCCATGATTTCTCTATTGACAGTCATCGCTGCCACCCTCCGACCAAACTTTTTTGCCCGCATTCGATCCGCCGGTACAGCCTTGGGCATTGTCTTTATTCAAATGTTCTTTGCCACATCGGGGGCGGCCGGGTCTTTGCGCCTCGTCTTGCAACAAGCGCCCAGTTTGTTTGTCTTTAGTGCCCTGCAAATTGCCGTCCATTATGTGGTTCTGGTAACGCTGGGGCGAGGACTGTTCCGATTGCCCTTTCGGGAACTTCATTTGGCTAGTAATGCCAACGTGGGAGGTCCCACGACCGCCGCGGCAATGGCACAAGCCAAGCAATGGAAACGGTTGGTACTGCCAGCCTTGTTGGTGGGTATTTTGGGGTATGCCACGGCTACAGCCATTGCACTGTCTCTGGGACCAATACTATTGAAACTGCCCACTCGATGAAAACAACAACGAAACAATGGGAACCAGCATTTTGACTTGCAGCTGATTCTAAAACATAGCCATTGACTTTTTTCAATTCGTTACTAGACATTTTGTACAGTATTGAATTCATTCATCTCCCACTTAGAACAGTCCGAAGTCCCATTCCTGCCGAAAGACGAGCTCTTACATCATCGGGAGTATTGGGACCGGAAAAACTGGCGACAAAGACCACTCGCGTTCCTTGGGTGATTCGGACCCCTTTGTGACTGACTCGTCCTCCCCACACCATGGCGGTACCCGGTGGTGGTTTTAACACAATCGAGGGTGAATCCATGCCTTGAATGGGATGCGATTGACTCCAGAATGCCGTCCCGCCGCCTTTGAAATCTTTGGCAGGCACAGACAAGGGCATGACAATGGAAAGCGCGTGATGGTCCTTGTGCATGTTAAAGTGGCCATGTGGTGCCTCGTAGACATTAATGGCTGGTTCTCGATTGGAATATTCGAGTTGATTGTCGCGCAACAGCGCCGCCATGCTGGAACAGTCGTCGCCAAACAGAGTCGTTCGGACACTGGGACAGACTTGTTGATCGAGAAATGTCAAGGCTCGTTCCAATATTTCCTCCATCAACTGGGAGACGGGTTCGGGAAGCGCATCCTGGGGCGCATTTTCTCGTTGCGCCGTGGCGGTTGGTAATAGTCGAATCAAGACTCGGTTGGGGTCGTCTTGTTCCAAAATAATTGTCTCTGTGCTGTCTCCCTTGCGTTCCTCTGCAGCGGCAAGGGACGACTTGACTAGAGTGTCAATCTCGTCGGGTTGGATCAGATTGGTCAGCTTGAGAATCGATCTTCCTCCCTTGATCCGTTCGCCCAACGAAAACGATCTCAGTGCATGATTCGGATCTAGTTTGGCCAGAGGTTTACCATTCTTAATCAGGACTTCTTCGGCTTGGATTGTGCTGGAAGGATTACATGTACTATTAGTAGTAGTAGTAGTAGTCTCAGTGCTTGGATTATTGTCGCTGCTTATTTCTGTCATGGTGAAGAGTACCGACAATCAAAAGAGAGAATAGTCTAGCTAGAGAAAAGAGTTTTGGATGGTGCCTGTTCACGAGAAGGCGAGCCGATGCTATTAAGCTTTCAAAGCTGGCAATTATTGCCCGCGCTCGAAGTGGTCGAGCAGCCCTGAAGTTGGGCGCCCGTGTTTTACCGGTAAATTTCGTCTCCTGGAGACGATTTGCTTTAGGGGTAATGGTACCGATGGGGGCAGAGGTTTGAATTATACCCGGCGCGCATTACTTAGAAGGCCCTGTAGAAGTCTACGTATTCGACTAGTATTGTATTGACGGGATACAGTCAACGCATGTACATGCACATGAAAGTCGCTTGCGTTCTTCACATTTTAAAAGTTGGTTCCTAATTTTTCGGGTCACCTGTGATTGATTGGACGCTTGATCTTTTTTCAATGACTGACATTGAATGACGTACGAGGTGCAATGCGAATCTCAGAAAGGTAGTTGTAGTAATAAAAGTTTTTATATATAGATTAATTTACCCTATATCCCTACCGTTTATACTTATAACAAGAACCCGTCTTCTCGCTGGAACATTTCATCGTATTGATCTTCTCCTAGGACAGAAGCCCAATAGTATCCTTAAATCTTGCAAGCAAGTCTCTCATTCGTTGTGGCATGGCAAAGTTCTTTGGATCCCATCCAGCTTCTTCAATAAGAACAAACCACTCATGGTTCGCACCCTTGATAAAACCACGTAAGCCCAGTTTGACAGTATCGCCATGATGT